TGAGCTTCGATCTCGAGCATTTCAAAGCGAAAATCCTCGCCGGAATGGGCTTTGCCACGCAACTCGCCGCGTTCGTGGAAAACGGCAGACGGCCTCCATGGGAGCCAGTAGCGCATAAGTCTCCGCAGCAAAAGCATTTAACTCATGCCATAGCTTCCGAGTTGGGACTCATTTCAAAAATGCGAAACCAATAATTATTACTGGGTGCCGTGTCGAGTTTCTCGGAATTCGCTCCCGCTTGTAGTGAGCTCTCATCGAACGCGGCACCTGTATTGGAAACTCGAAACCCGAGCTCCGTCCGGGGCCTCACGAGCCTAAGGGGGGATTCGGATGCTTGTCCCAGAGTTCACTTCGAATGCGGTTTGAGAGTCGAGAACAAGGCGATTGTGGAGGATTCCCATCATCTCAGGTTCCTGTGCGCTGTCTCCTGAGACTGGAATGAGCAAGAGCTGAGGCTCGAGAATCTCCGGGTCCGCTTCACCGTGGAGATGCACGCAAGGGTCTGCGTCGAAATCGCATCGAATCGGCCTTGTAGATAAAGGAAATTGAGCGAGGCCGCTTGATGATCTGAGAGAGCAGATTTCAAGCGGGAATATTCCCGACAGAATCCCGCTCCTTGAATTTCCTGGGGAAGATCGATGCGGGGCCGGTTCGGAAAACGTCTGAAGGCTCTGTCTGATGGGAGGCATCGTTTTTTCTTCGTCGTTCAGATTTGATATCGAACATTTCTGATGATCGATGCGATCCCATGAGCGCGGGGCGTCTCTGAAAAAAATATCGACTCAGATGGAGAGAACGTGAGTCCCAGCGCGAAATCGTCTCGAGAAGTCAGGAATTCTTCGCAAGTTTCGGATCCTCTTTGAAAAAATGTGCGGGACGACGGTCTCCGGAATCTCGACTCCTCCGATCCCGTCACCGGAAACCTTCAACAAACGGAAGGCTCCGACGGGGACGACTGTATGAATGAATGAAACGAGACTCAAGAGCTGCCCAATCGTCTTTTGTCAACGAGGCAGGTGGCGGTCGTGAGGGCTCGAGACGGAAAATACAGAGCTCCAAATTTACGGGCTGTCTCGGGGGAAATTTTCTGACGACATTCTTTTTTGACGCGACGAGACGGTTACAGCAGAATCTGGAACGAGCGCTTGCACGATGAGGCCTCGGATCTGCATTCCCGGGAAGCTCGCTTCTCGCAATACGCCGTGTCGTTCCAGGATGTGCATACGGTCGCATTCGTGACAGTAAGTGAAATCAGCCGGTCAGGCGTCGCACATTTCCGAGCTCTCAGACTCGACATATGCATATCGGATCCGGAGCTTCTTCAGACCCCTGATCCCAGGACTCCCGATTTCGAAGTTTCTATCGGCAGGATTGCCAGATGCCTGGCGAGCCTTTCGGATCGGGAATTTCTTCCCATCCGGCGCCCCCGATAAGTATTCCTAGATCATGGCCTGATTCACTCGCATGTAGAACTATGCCGACGAGACAGAGCTACCTAGCGAATTCAGATCACCCGCGAGCCTATCAGAAATTTTCCTTTCCCGTACTCCTTCTCTGAAGGAACAGAGTATGATGCAAGGATTCGGCTCAGTCTCGACATTGAGTGGAAATGGGCGTGGCCATCTCTCCTGAAGCTCGCAGCCCAGGGGCTGACGGCTGAAACGGACGATTTATCAGTTTCATCTTGTTCAATATTTCCATATCGAGTCGTCGGCGGCGATTCCGGTATCAGCGTTCCGACTCACAAAAATGAGGTTCCTTGACAGGACTCCCTGAATGAAGTATTTCGGATTCCTTGGAGCGATCGCTGCCTCGAGTGACTGCGGAATAAAATGGAGTTCTTGCAGCAGTTCCCAAGGTACGGCCGCCGTGTTGTGATTCGATATGCGATGTCGGCTTGTGAATTTGTGCTTGAAGTGATCACCTGAGAATCACGATCGTTTAAACGATTGCCTCCCAATGTGTGACGCTCGTCATCACTTTGGACATATTTGTACTGATCTCGCTTGATGTCCTTCGTTGAGCGGAACCGTAGGCTCGCGGGAGCGACACATGACCGGAGAATGTACGATGGTCAACACGCAGAAGTCTCGCAGATGAGGGACCTATCATTTCGGATAGGGAATTTCCACATCGGAGGCTGTGAGCCTGGAGCTCCTACTCGACTTAGAACGATAGACCAAGCTAGACCAACCACCTCAGAGATAGGGGGATAAACGGCAGAAGCATAGCATATGAACACGCCGGATATGGCGACAAGCCGACGAGGACTAGGAATCCGTGCGACAAGGTTGGATGCCGATTCCGAACCAGCCTTCACCCCCATCCTCCGGCCGAATCTCAGGAGGATGCAATGAATGGGAAATGAGAGGAAGGAATATGGTTTATGATCCCATCACAGTCAAGGGGCAAGACCTATGGAATTCTGATGAGGCGACGATGCGCTCCTCTCAGGGGATGACCCCTCGGGGGGAAAATCGAGATTTCATCAGAGTTATTCGCTCCAAGCTCACTCGCTATGGAGACTTTCAGGTATGCTTCAGAAATGAGGATGGATCCCTGTGAAGGTCTCACAATTTCGATTTTTATACCTTATGGAATTCCAGGCCAGACGGGAGTTCTGATCTCGAACGATCCCAAGGGTCCGGGTCCGGATCCTCCCTCGGCCGCATATGTGGAATGGATGACGTTTTTACATTACCGACTCTGCTTGCATATCGCTTTCCGCGAACGAGGCTCATGCTCCCAGAGTAGAACCCAGCTTCGTCAGTGCCAGGCCCTTCGAAAATCCAAACCCCGAAGATACTGCTCGATACTTGCAGGCGGATCAGAGAAGTCTGCGGACAATAGGAATCCCAGTGAGGGATTCAAAGTCAGCGAGAGATTTTTCTCCGACGCACCTCCCTGAATCACGGACCGAGATAAGGCTATCTGACAATGTGATTCGCGGCTCAATCGATTAGGTTCCGCCAAACACCATGGTCGTCGATCGAATCGCAGGGCACGAAAAAAAATTATTTACTCTGGAAAATCAGAGGAATTGGAGTTTTGGGTCATCTAGTCCGTAGAGAATCTGATCTAGTCGAAAACAAGCACTCCCAGCTCGGAATATCACAAGGGGGACCGAATCAGGACCCAGCTTTTTGTGTTTCCAGTGATCACCGTCAATGCGGAGCAACTCCACGAGATGCTTTCCTGAGATGTCTCGACATTGACTGCAGATGTTATCGCTCGGTTGTTGCAGTCCTCGTTGTTGGCTCGATAGCCGAGGCCAGACAACGAATGAGATGTCATGAAGTCTCTTGTCTGCGATCAGCCAGCCACCTGCATCACCATCGGATTTCGATATAAAGGACTCAGGGCTATGTGGAGTAATAACAGGGGGCTTACCACGAACAAAGGTGGCAATGGCCAGATCCGCCAGACTTCATATGAGTCATTGAAGTCTCATGAAGATATTCAAGCGCTCTATCCGCTCACTCTGGAGTCCCTTCCACTCAGTGCTCTCTATTCCCTGGGTAGCTGAAGGCGCGGGAAATCGACTCGGGAAGGAGGGAACTGGCCGCTCATCTGGGCTGATTCGCGGAAGAGCTTCGTGTGGCATCTAGATCCGAATCTTTCCGTGCCTTACTGGTACTCTGAAGGTGAACTCCTCATGTACATACAGGGAACCAGGTGATCAGATTTCGCCGTCTTCCTAACTTGACCTAGGCCCGTTGCTCTCGTCGATGAGAGCGTCACCACGTTACATAAACGGGTCTCGGTGTGCACTTAGACGAGACCGGACGTACTTCCAATGTACGATTCGGCTCGCATGGCAAGGCTCCGATAGGAGGAACCAGAGTCATCGCTCACCCAATCGAGACCATATGGGTCCGAGCTCGGGAATCGAGACCCTGAACTCAAAGCTCGTAGGTAGATGTCATCGCAGCATCTGCTCATGTTCCGAAGTGAGATCACAGAGACAAAGTTCGAATCAGTCCCAAGAGAGAGATCAGAGGCAGACTCAGCCGTGTCTTAGTTAGAGCGATGCGTTTCCTTAGTGGCCTACGTTTAGGTAATCTTCTTTGAGATAAGAAAAATCCTCCTCTCTCAAGCACCCATTTCACACATGCTCAGATCGTCCGTTTTGCCGTGTCTGCCACTACCGCCGCTCCCGCTGCCGGACGAAGTTGCACGGATATCTTAACGGAGCCTTCATCAATCCCGTCCTTATCATGCTGCCGCCTTAGTCTACAGGATACCTCGACGATGATACAAGCACACACATCCGAAGTGGAAAAGGAGAGCTGAGGCGAGAGCTCACCCCGCACCACCGGAGTAATCGGAAAGAGACGACTGCGGGGGATAGAAATAGTGTTTTATTCGATGCATTACCCAACTAAAGCCTCCCATTTACCGTAGAGGAAGAACGAAAGCACATCTGCTTTCCAAACTTGACGTTACGGGCAGCAACCTCATCGATGATGGCCACTTGTCCGGCGAAATCGGAAATGCTAATTGTCCCTCGCGAATTACGCCTTTCGGATTGGCAAGTCTTTTTTTTCTGTCATCAACCCCACCCCCCAGGGAGCTGCATCCAGCACACAACCACCGGCGAACGCGTGCCACACATTCCCTCCCTCAATATCTTCCCGGAGAATTCGATTGATCGAAAGGTGAGGCAGGCAGCATAAGTTCGGTCAAACTTAGAAACACGTGACTTCGAGGCGGAAGCGCTCCCCCTGTCCTCGTATATCTGTATCGTGGTCTGATAACTCATCTCAGAATGCGCCCGAATCGGCAGATTCATCAGCCGGGGATAGAGTTCCCTCATAAATTGTCTTGGACGGTCAAATGAGAACTCCTACCATCCTGTCGGCTTCAATTGGTTCCATGCGGGAATCTCTACGGCCTCAATGTCTGAGCGAGCTGAACTCCACCTAGGTCGAGGCAGTACCGCGGTCCAACCCACAAGATATGGATCGGCGCATCCGACCCGTCTCCTTTCATTCCCGAAATCAAGCTTTCGCTGACAAATCGTGCAGGATACCGGGGGGCAACCCAGATCCCGGATCGAAGGTGTACACGAATTGGCTCTGGAAGCGAGAACGAGTCAATCATCCTGACTTAGCACCGGAGTCCCCGGAGGGAGTCGAAATAGAGTGAAATCCTGCTCTCAAGAAAGGGTCTCGCAGGAAATGTGCCCCTTTTTGGAAGTCGCTGCGGCGACCAACTTCAGAGAGCTGTATCTCCGAAACGGCTGGTCACAGAGCGACGATCGGAGGCGCGTAAAAAAACCGAGTCTGAGAGCTTTCATTCGCGCTAGTCAGATCATAAAAAAGATGGGACGGAGATATATGACTATGTTTTGTAATCGGAAATCATGTCGACGATTTCGCTGTTTTTTTTGCGGACTTTCCTTTTCCGCGAAACAAGACTGTGTGCGAAGTTTCAGAGTGACTGCTCAACTGTGAGTTAATTTAAGTACCCGAAAACCCTTTTTTCATTGAATAAGCCCAATTGGATTCTACCACCATTCGAGTCGGCTTGCGGAGGCTCGAATTGGAAGCATGCGCTGGACCTTCCGTCGACCCTACGTCATGCGGAGGGGCTGTCGAATCTTTTCTTGCGGAGAGATAGTGAAACGGAATTTTTGGCAGGAAGGACGGATCAAGACTAGAAGTTGAGCGATGTCTCGTAGTTTTGAACGAATCTAGCTACAAATAAATCAATACTCTCGCTTATCGACTGATTCGAAGAGGGATATCCCGTGAATAATGACACCCTCCGATTCCCAACGCGATCTTAAGAGGGAAGTCCTCGTTGCGAACTCCCCAGGGGGAGTTTTCTCGGCTCCGTACGACCAACCGTTCTCTAGATGGAAACCTCCGCGAGCCGAATGGTGGTAGGATCCAATTGGGCTTATTCAATGAAAAAAAGGTTTTCGGGTACTCAAACATACTTACAGTTGAGCAGCCACTCTGTAACTCCGCACATAGTCTTATTTCACGGAAAACAGTCCGCAAAAGGAAAATCAGCGGAATCGTCGATACGGTTTTCGATTTTAAAAAACGGTCGTATATCTCCGTCCCAAGTGATCCTTTTTCTGATCTGACTGAGACGCGAATGAAAGCTCCCAGACTTAGTTTCCAACGCGCCCTCGATCGTCGCTCTGCGACCAACCGTTCCACAGATACAGCTCTCCGAAGTTGGTCGCCGAAGCGATTTCCAAAAAAGGGGCACATTTCCTTCGAGACCCTTTGCGCTTGAAGTGGCGGATATTCTTCTCTCAATAGATTATTCACTCACCGTTCCCCCCATGAGTCGCGGCAAGTTCTCTTGAGAAATGTATTTGAGAACAGACTTCTTGTTGACGATCTTCGTCCGATCCGCTCCCTCTGACGGTAGCATCTTGCGAACGGTTTTCCAACAGGCTGCAAAGATTCAAGAGCGTCTCATGCGACATCGAGCTTGCTTGAACTCCACACTATGTAATTGCCTCCTGAAATTTTCATAACAAACGCCGTGTACTAACGAACCATTCAGCACGATCGGTAGATCGAAGACCAGGACGTGGTCCAGAGCGTCGACGTAGTGTGTTTTGAACGCATCTATCATGGTTTTCAAATAAGCCATGTGCTGGAAAAGTTCACGGACTTTCGTGATGAGGTTTTCTATCCGGAGTCGAGGGTTCCCAGGAAGCATTTTCTCTGCTTTCAAGCCTCGAGGCGGTGTTGCTCACCAGATTTTCTATTCTAGTTTTATGACAGTCCAATAGGACAGTTATGTTCCCGCGAATTTGCATCGCGGCGTATTCAATGAAGTAGATGAAATATTTGCGGCAAGCATCCTCCTCCTCCGAATCACGTGGTTTTCGAATGAGGGCTCCTCGAATAATTACTGCAAAAGACGAGGGTAAGCGAGGCTTGACCTTCACCGACTCCCTGAGGTGGAGAGATCTAATTGAGGAAGACGTATGTGCCATAAATCAGATCCGACTCAGAGATCTCTCGATAAAACCGGGCGGGCTCCGCCGCAAAGTTGGATGGCAGAACCTCCCTACACCGGGATCGGGGCACTGCCGATGGAAAGTGGGATGGAGCGTACACCCGTTTTCGAGAAGCCGTGGAGGGATACACTTACGGATATGCGCACCGCCTCGCGTTTTGCCGTGGAAGTAGATGACGCCAAGTTGGAAGGCTTCGGCGCAGATCGCGAAGGGATTGATATCTGAGAACGAAGAACTCGGTGAATCCCACGCGAAGGACGAGTGGAGGGGCAGAGAAAAATCTCCGTCTGGGAGCGATCTACATTCCCCGCCTGCCGCATGGACTTTAGTGGTGTTTTTCTCGCTATTCCCGAGATGCTGTGGTGGGTGCTGTTCTCCGAAAAAACAAAGGCACGCGGTCAGACTAGCCTGGTGCAACAATACGGCTGATGTCAGGGGTTCCAATGAGAGAATTCTGCATTATCAGGCTGAGAACATTATCTTTATCACTGCGGAGTCCTCGGTATACCTCTCCCTGGAGCTAGAACCATCGGCAGGCGACAGCGGGCTCCGCTCGCCGTACGGGACTCGCGGAGCTTCCCGAGCCACAGCACGTCAGCCGTGGAGCACGAGATACTTGACCGAGTCACTCATTTCCGCTTAATCGCTCGATCGAATATCTCACCAACTCCTGTACATCCTCATCCTTGTGCATTCCATGCAAAACGAGGCAAGCGCCCGGTCCGCCTCCCCTCTCCTCGTCCCGAATACCTTGACCCTTCCTTCGAAGAGAATGCCAGATCCACCACTGTTTCGCGTCGAGATACGGAGCGATGCAGGGAAAATTACCGATTCTCTCCTCAGATCAGAGTCGTCTGAAGAGCTCCGGCTAAAAAACCAAGGAAATTCAAGTTCTCGGCCGCATGGAAGCTCCACAGGAATAGCTAGAGCGAAGAGCCGCCCGAGGTGTCAATGAAATTCTCAGCCTGCGGAGCTCAATTCTCGCAAATCCTCGGTTGGTTTCGAACTATGGATGTTGTCGCCAGCGGCGCGTCAGACTTTTTTGTTGGGTTGCTGGAGAACAGAGACTGGGAGAGTTTGACTTTCTCTTTCGCCACGACCCCTCTCGTGCAGAATTGTTTCATTCACCATTGGAACACTAGTGAGGGGATCGGCCATGAAATTTCCCATGCTGCGTCGAGGGGTCACTTGCAGGAATTGCGCGCAGACTATGATGTTTCTGGACATTCCCGAGCAAATCGTTTCGGGAAGCGTCCCGAAAGCTCGTAGGCGTCCTGCTGCCGCCACCACTGATTGTCGCCTCTCCGTGGAGGTGATCCAGCGATTCTTGATGCGCCTTCGCAATCTAAGCCCGAAGAGCTTCTATCCCCAAAATCTCGATCATCAGGTGCTGCACGAACCACTCGGCTTGAACTTCCTCCTCCACTGGATAATCTCGATGAATATCTTCATAGCTTCTCTGGAGTCCTTTGCACGTCGCAGGATCCTGGCGAGATGGTACTCCTCAAGAATGAGCGATAGATCCGGTCCGATGGCTTCGTCTGGGGGATATTGGAGGACTCGGCGTCAGTATCCCAGTCAGGGGGGTGAACCTCCGTGCAATCAGCGTCGAAAGCCTGTGAGCTACTGCCTTCCTCGGTCCAAAAGTATCGCGTCTTTCGATGGACGAAGGCCGACGCGGGGACTCACCTCTCTCCAGGGACCCCTGGCAAAAGTGCTCCTTGAGACTGTTTCGAAAGTCCCCGATGAGGTCGGGGGGCACATCTAGACGATTGATCACTTTGATCTTCTTCGGTTCGCCCATGCTGAAGTGTCGGTATCGATTCCGATCGCGACATTTTGACTCACGAAAGCGAGTTGCGGTGGAAAGACTCGTTGAAGCGGCACTGCTGCATGAGTCGCTTGGATTGCTGCCACAGAGCGACATCGAAATGAAATGAATTATTCTTGCGTATGTTAATAACCCGTGCGGTCTTTCCTGAAGGCCGTGTCAATAAATAGGGCGTGAGCTCACGCTCTGAGTTGTCCGCTAAGAATTGCCATCCACCAGTTTTGAGCTTCCCGAGCTCTCATTTATGAAGGTGAAATTCAGTGAGTCGATTGAATCAACACGTTCGGGGAAAGTATTCCTTACCCGCCGAATCGAATGCACAGTAATCCTCGGGCTATCCGGAATCTTCCGCGTGGAGTTGGGAGGGATCCCACAGCATCACGGTGTAGCAGCGACTCTAGGCGCTACGAATCGTCTACCCTCCTCCAATGTGGTCCCTGAATCGCGCCGTCCTACTTGGTGCTCTGAGAGTTCGTTTTTTTCGCCCGAAGTCCCTCGTCCCCCGAGGGATCAGACTAGAAAGGTTGTTCCCTCGAACACTTCCGCCCTTCAGGGTGTCGAGTCGAGATCTCCTCCAATGAGGAAGGATCTAAGCACGATGTAGTGCCGCTCGTGATGCACCAAGAAGGTTCGGGGATTTTTCATCGATCGCGCAGTAGTCCGATAGCTCTCTCATCACGAAGCGGAGCCGAGGCGAAAGCTCCCCCTTCGGGAGTCGAAACCACTGGAGAGACTGGTTGAACTTAGAAAATAGTCTAGTTTGATGGATAATCCTACTATTTTACACATTTATTCATTATCATATTTATTATCAGCGGCATTATTGACCTCGTCGATCTTCTTGTCGTCATCATCACCAAGAGGAATTAGTTTGTTGGTATGATTCTCGTATAAATAAAAGAAAGGGACAATTTCACGCTTTTTCGTTGATTTTCATTTTCATTTGTTCTTTCGGTTTCGTCCATCATTCCCTGTTCTGTACGACGATTTTGCCGTGATTTCCACAAACAGATCCTCTCGCCGGTTGTCTCGATGATGAACCAATAAGCCGTTCAGCCAGGCCAATCGTGAACGAAGAAAGAACGACCTGCTGAACGGAAACTATGAACGACGCGCATTCCTTTTGGTTCTCCGTCACTCCCAATGATTTTCGCCCTCGATTCAACTCCCCCTGAGCCGCTTTCGAACCGTCTCGCGTACTCTTGATTTATCCGAAAATCCGCCACTCAGAGGTGCATCTCCATACTCTCCGCTTTTTCAAGCTGCTCGGGGCTCGATGCCTGCAGCGTCCAACAGACTGCGGTCTTGGTCGTCGTAGCCGTTCGGGAGCGTTCTCAGTTTGGTCATCCCAGGCAAGGAAATGAGACATCCGACAATGCCGCTGCGTCGACTCTCTGGATTGCTCAGGACTTAGCGTTTCATCCGCGCATATCTCTTCGTTCTCTTTTCACCCCATATAACGACAAGACTTCACATATCTCGGTCTTATTTGACGCTATATACATTACAATTGGAGTTCTCGCAGGCTTGTAGACCTGCACCGTCTCCAGTTTGCCTGGCAACACGAGAACCTCACCGATATAGCTCCTCCAAACCTCTCGAACCATGTCCCTAACCCCATCTCCTACTCACACGCCCGAACTCCCCTCACACCGACCCCGACTCGGAAGAGTCTCTCCTAAATTCTAGCTCGTATGACAATCCCTTGTGGTGTGTCCGTGATGACGTGGCAGGAAAATTGCCATTTGCAGATGAACGTCAGGCAAATCGGAACGATCCGCAAATGCCACGGTGAGATGATATTCTTCAGTTAAGTTGTTGTTGTTGTTATCCTTCATTCTCTTCTTCTTCCACTTCGTACTTCTTGGCCGATTCTCCGGCTGCTCCGACTTCGGCTTCTTGACTATGTATTCGTTTTGTCTCTCCGTTCCATCTTTGTCTTCCGGTATTTTTTTGGTGGAGTCGTGGTGAAAACGTAGAGGGCTCCGGAACAAGATGCCAGCAGAACAAATTAAAGGAAGTAGTCTGGAGTGCGCCTGGTCACGTGAGGTTCGCCTCTTCTCGGGGCGGGATCGAATTGAAGGAACGAGTACTTCAGTGAATCATCCAGTTCCATGATGGCTGCCTGGTTTCCACATCGGTAACAGTAGTTCGGAGCTGAGAAGATGGTAACGACATTTCTATCGTGGCACCAGTTGTAGCCTTCCATGACGAGCTGATGCGCTCGGGCCACGAGCGTCAGACCGTTGCTGTGGTTGAACGACTCAGAAATGTCTTGTCCGAAAGTGTAACCCGCACCTCGGGGTGAGATACCCCAGCCTCCCCGATCGTCGGGGTCTGACCAGAGCAGGTCACACATGGGACCTTCATGAGGAACCTGTGGGGGAGGATTAAATCAGATATACAGGCTTGAAAATTGAAGCTAGCCATCTCCGACTACAGTGCCGTGTCGAAGGGAAATATTTTCAGGTATGCATGGCGGCAACGTGCGCTTCCTCCGAACAGTGAACATTCTCACCTCTTGTAGTCTGTCGAGGGATCGAATATGGTCCAGAGAATCGATCGAAGGCGACAGTCCTCCATGCAGGCAGAAAATCTGGCCATCCACTAACGCGGTCAGCGGCAAGAAGTCGAATAAGTCTGTGAAATGTTTCCATACATTCGCGTTTCCATATTTACGGAGACACTCATCGTAGAATCCGTAGACTTGCGTGATCTGCCTGGACTCATGGTTGCCTCGAAGGATGGTGATGCGCTCCCTGCAATCCATGGGAGGTATTTGGTGAATTTCCAAACTCTCACTCTAGCACCATGAATTAAGTTGAGAATGGCGTGAACGGATCACTGAGGATCCTGAGTCTTCATCAGGGAATTGAGGAAATTCGGAACAGTACTAACCTGTATCTGACTTTCAGGGCCACGAGTAGCGTGACGGTTTCTACTGAATAGTATCCTCGGTCGACGTAATCACCCATGAAGAGATAGTTGGTATCGGGACTCTTCCCGCCGATCCGGAATAATTCCATGAGATCGTGGAACTGACCGTGAACATCTCCGCATACCGTTACAGGACATTTTACTTCTTGTACGTTGTTTTCTCGACTGAGGATTTCTTTAGCCTGCAACGAGATTTCCGATTTACTTCTTGCATCGAGGCTTGCCGCAAAGGGTCTGCTCGACAGACACCGCGTTCAGTAACCCGTCGGACAGCGGTTTATTTCCCTGTTATATCATCATAAGGGAGATAAGCCGGTTAAGCCTTCGAGGCTTGGCTGATGGAGGTCGGTCGGGCCGGCTCCGGAAGCTAGCAACCGAGTCTGGAGCTCATGAGCGCGATTGAGCACAGGAGGCCTTTACGACTGCCTCGGCGAAATATGCTTCCATTGACAGACCCCTAGACGCCGAAGTGTCCCGAGCGACTCATGATAACGCGAAAGCGTCATGAAGTCAATCTAGAGTGCGGGATGCGAGACGACGCCGAGGATGAGTCTCGCTCGAGCGATGGCTCCGGAATCTTTCCTCACAACGATTCCACATCGTGGAATGGAGAAACTCTGAAGTCTCGAGTCGAGCGCTACACTGTGCTATCGGCTCTGAGACCCGGGTACGACGATCAAAATTCTCAGCTCAAGCCGCGACGCAGGCACAGCATCGGTACGGTAGTTTCGCTGCCGTATAATAGCGGAAAAATAAGTGGCGGTAGCCGACTGGCAGCGCTACACTGACACGCGCGCGGTTCTACAGGTGTTCATTGAACACGAGCCGTAGCAACAACTAAAGAACTCCCATGAGTTCAACAGAAGCAGGCCGGTGACCACCGGCGTTGTCAAGCCAGAGCTCGGTGACTCACGACTCTGATGGGATGGTAGCCGCCCTGTATAACGGTCTTCGAAGCTCTGCTCGAATGCATAATTAAGGAATCCGACACCAGAGCCACATGATAGTTCAAATCGGAGTTCGGAAAGACGAGCGAGGCGACAAAACAAATCCCAGGACGGTCGTTGCAGGAATTTCATCTGTGGTATAAACCGACCCACACCCCGAAGACCGCATTCCCAGCATAGTCGAGGAACGTGGCCGTCGAGAGCAGGCATGACAACCGGCATCAGACGAAAGCCGTGTCCGGCGTGTTCGCGAGGGTCTCTATGACGTTCGGGGGAGATTATCGAATCGACGCAGCAGATAAGGGATCACTCATGCTAACAGACGAACGAAATCGCACTCGCGCTCCTCCTCGCCCGCCTCCCAAGCGTCATCTAGATACGTGGAGAGGTAATTGCGATCTTTTGGAGTCCACAGCGTACTGCACTTGCTTCTCGAACACCTCGCGAAGCTTATCGAGATTCACTTTGAGATTTTCGAGGGCATGGGCCGGCGGTGCGGTCTGACGTCACCGTGGGATGCCCGTGACAGTCCAACACCGATGACAAATACAAACAGAAACCGCAAAGTAATTCACCGAATCGTCGTCTCACCCGCGGAGCATTATCGCTCGATGACGTAGAACGATCACTGACAGAGATCTTCTCGATCGGAAGCAGAGAAAACCGGCGAAGAGCAACGAGCCCCGCCAAAAATCCGTGTCCGCTCCAACGGTTCTAAATTTAGAACGCCATTCGTATTATTCGTCGTCGCCATCGATGATTTCTAAACCGAGGAATCGCCATCGGTCCCGGAGCAGCGGAGCTCGAATAGAATTCGGAGGCGGTATCGTCACCAGGGCTGATCTCCTGAATTCCGCCGGAAAAGGAGCCGCGAATAGGCAAGTGATTCCAGAAATTTTCACCCCGACGACCCGAATCCGCTTCAGCGGTTCTCTGTCAGAAATCGGCACTCGGACCATTAAGCCACTGGCCGCCGCATGAAACATCACTCTGCTCCTGAGCATACATCGGAGGTCAGAGGATCCGACTTCACGTATTGGGTCGGGACACGATCGCCGCAATCTCGGTACAGGCTCGTAGGCTAGCGTTAGTCCGGCTAGCGAAGCATGATGGTTGAGGCTTACCTTTTCACAGAGCTGTTTGACTTGGTTTTCCGTGAGCTGTTTGCACTCATTGAGTTGCTCAATCCACGCATCGAGTTCTTTTATACTTTGTTTCTCGTCGGTGGTCATCGCGACGAGCTTTCAGTTAAAGTCGGTTGACTGACTGGCTGGCTGGTTAGGTCGCAGGCAGAAGACAACACCAAAGCAAGCTACACAATTTCCACCACCGGAGAAAGCAATGGCGGATGTGGTGCTTCATCAACCCACGGAGGAATCACACACCGACGCAGGGTACCACAGTCGGCAGCCGCTAGCTCTGATGACAGAGGCGGCGGTACAATTGAATTTCTCACCACACGCTCGACTGCCCGCGGGTCGAAGCGTCAGAAAAGCCCCTAAGGATCCAAGATATCTACCGGGTCGGTCTCAGTATCCGGCATGGGGTGCACGATTGACTCATGACTGGGGTCGTTGACACGGGCTCATTCTAGGGTTCATCCCAGAGCCCAAGGCATTCGGCGCACCGGCAAACCTGCTGGTACAATGTGGTGGCTAGTGTCAACCGCGCTCTTCGAAGCAACTCTTTTGCCGAACGCACGGTACCCATCCCGACGCATTTCGAGTTCCGATCATCGGGTTGAATCCACGAAGAAATCCTGATGCACCAAAGAATCATTTGTGGCGATGAGCCAGCCGAAGCAACGATATGCATCAGAACAAGTGACGCTTGACGGCTCTGTGGTACGTTTTCGAATTATGGCGGGACTGGGTACGTTTTCGACTTGGTGTCTGCTATGCTTCCGTGACAACATCCTTTTCGGCGTCGATGTTGGGGCTGTAATATCGCCTCATTGTGCCGTGTGGATAAATCTTCGAAAATCCGGGCGATTTTTGACTGTTCAACATCAAAATGGCGACGCTAGTGTCCGAGCACCTCGTCTATCGGGGTATAATGCACGGCCACACAGGCTGGGTCACTCAAATCGCCACCAACCCCAACTATCCTGAAGTGATTCTGTCGTCATCCCGAGGTATGTTTTCACTTGTGTGGGTCCTCATACGGTTGGCTCGATGTCACAGTGGTGAGACGGTCCGAGCCTCCTTTATTCACGACTGCTGAGGAATCTCGCTGAGCCCTCGCGGAATATCGTTTCTGGATAGATCTCGGGCTCGCATCGCGTTTCCCATTCGAATGTTGTGAACCCTGCACACGTTGTCTCATGTGCAAGACCGATCGAGTGTCGAGCGCAATCTTTTTCGAAAAGAATCCCTCGGAATAGGATTCGGGGCCGAGGTTCGCGAGCTTCGGAAGGGAAATGAGGAAGTCGCGTCGTCGATTTCCGTGTGCGAATTGTGAACGAGCATCGTGCCTCCTAGGCAAACGAGCAGACGACGTGACTGGAACTCTGACCTAGTGTTTGCTCCCAAATAACTGTAATCACCATCCACAGACAAGACCCTGATCCTCTGGGATCTGAAGCGCGAAGAGGGATGCTACGGTGTCCCGAAGAGGCGTCTCCATGGTCATGGTCACTTTGTTACCGATGTTGTCATGTCCTCCGACGGTCACTACGCGCTGTCTTGCTCCTGGGACAAGCACCTCCGATTGTGGGATTTGAACGCCGGCAAGAGCACTCGCCGTTTCGAAGACCACAAGAAGGACGTTCTCTCGGTGGCTTTCTCTGCTGACAACAGACAGATCGTCTCCGGCTCCCGAGACAAAACCATCAAGGTATGAAATCCTGACCCATGTATTCAGCAGGAATAATGACTTCCGGAAGCTAGCTAGAGCTACCCCGTTCGGTACCATGATGATCTTTTCACAACTCCCAGCGATCTTAATTGAACGTATGCGGAAGGAATTTATAACACAATGAACCTGAAATCCTCATTAGTATTTCCATCGAGGGATCGTCTGAATTTCGAGACAATAAATAATCGAAACCTTGACCCACAGCTGTGGAATACACTTGCCCAATGCAAGTACACCATCGTTGAGGACGGCCATGAGCACTGGGTTTCGTGCGTGCGCTTCTCGCCAAACAACACCAACCCTGTCATCGTTTCTTGCGGCTGGGATCGTGTCGTCAAGGTGTGGAACCTCGCCAACTGCAAGATCAAGACCAATCACCGCGGTCATAAGAGATACCTGAACACCGTCACTGTCTCTCCAGATGGCTCTCTGTGCGCCTCCGGAGGCAAGGTCAGTATATGCCGAGGGTCAGGTGTACTGTCGCTATATATTTTTGCACCGACTCCCGAGCGGAAGATGAGAATACATGATGATTAATTCACAACTCCGATACCTCCGGGTATATGTGGCTTTTCCACAAATTTCTGATCGTTCCCCTCGAATCTGCGCGGTTATCCGATCGGTCGGCCGAGTTGAGACCGAATACTCGTTTCAGGACGGTCTCGCCATGCTCTGGGACTTGAATGATGGCAAGCATCTGTACACCCTCAACAACAAGAAGGAATCGAGCAGCATCAACACACTCTGCTTCTCACCGAACAGATATTGGCTGTGCGTCGCTAACGGAGGTGGCATCAACGTTTGGGTACGTCACGCGTCTCGAGCGGAGATTTTCCCCTCCGGAACGGTTCGAGCGGAGGACCTGCTAATGATGAATCGAAAAAATACACATTCAACAGCTGAATTCTTTGAAGATCAATTTTTGTATCTGAAACAACAGGCTCCGCCCAAGGAGCTGTGGTGCGAAAGGAGGTCTTCGCTTGTCTCACAATGTAACGCCCTTATCTGTTCCTTCTCCAGGATCTCGAGAACAAGCGTCTTGTGGATGAGTTGAAGCCTGAGCTCGTATGCAACAACAACACGAAGAATAAGAGCAGCGAATGTATTTCTCTCGCTTGGGCTCCTGACGGCCAGACCCTCTTCGCTGGTTACACGGACAACTCGATTCGTGTCTGGCAAGTCAGTGTGAAGCAGTCCTCTGCTTGAGAAAATCGTATTCTCTAATCGTGCGATCGACGTGCTGGAAAATAAAGAAAAAACGACCGGAGCTCATGGGTCTTCCCTCCTCAAGTTCTCGTCTTCAGATCTAGTCATGCTGAACTCTCGGTAGAAAGATCAATCTAATTGTAAGGGAATCGGTTTCCGGGGGGGAATACTGTGAATGCAAACTCCAAGGGCATTTCGAAACTCGGGGTAAAAAGTGCTGAAATTTCATTCTACGGAAACCTGCGTCATGGAGAGTCCACTCCTGGCTGGGTATCCTGCGATAAAATTTCTCATAGGATGAGATGATTGTTTTGATTTATTTTTATTTTTTATTCGTTAATTTATCCACTAGCGCCCCGTACGTCTCCATGCTCGAAATCTGCGGACGATTCTCGTCTCGAGCGAACGAAATTCTCCTGATTCGAGGACACACTGGAGTTTCGCCTGCGGGACATTATGAGAGAGCATGCATTTCCTTCCACCATTTTTCCAGGTTTGCGCAAGGCACGGGTGGTAGATACTGAAGATATTCCAACTGAAGGACATGTCCGTCAATCCTGCACCATTCGAGACTAGCCCTTCAGACGTCACCGTCCTTTGGGGACTTCAGCTCTATCCCTTTCCTTCGCTTACGGGAGAGTGAGTCCGATCACTGATCCTGGTATTCTGTATTGAATCGATCAATCATTCAATCAAACAAATCGTGGGCTTACTCGATACTCACACAGACGGGCCGCGAGACGAACTTTGCGATCTTCGCGACTCGCTGACCTGAATTCCTCCCCTCGAGAGTGTCCGCTTGTATTGGACACTGCCCGTCTATCCCATGTATCCTCCGAACCCTGCCCGCTTATCGAGGACTGCCCTGATACTAGAGGCTGCCCTTCTATGGGGACATTCACGGTACATTTTTCTCGACAAGTAACCCGAGCCTCATTCTGAGCCTTGGTACTCCGGCTGTATCTTCCTGTGCCTTGGGGGATAGAGGGGAGACACTCGTAGGAGACCTTGTACACACACGAATAGGGTTAGGTCGCCCGCTTGCCATCGACATCAGCGCTATCGAAAGTCATACCTTGGACGGGAAAAAACGGGTGGGTAAATGCAACAAGAGCCACTACGGGGTGTTTCGGCTCGAATCAAGCAGAATCGATCCTTGATCAATGATCGTAGATTGTCCATTGGATGGAAGATTCCCGAAGACGGAAGAGAGTCCCAGTTTTAGATGATGAAAAGCGTGCACCACTAGGCTTTCTACGCAATAGTTCCGACTTCCTCCACCTTCCGTAGTGGAAAAGCTTGCGGAGTTCGGATCGCTTCCCCAAAAATACGCGGACCGCCCCTCTCGCGAAAGATGCTGGATCCGCCACATTTCGGATCGAAAAAAAAACGCGTATAAGAAGCGGCGGCGAGGCGTAGAGGATCTCGGATTGCGGTGCATCGAGAGCTACTCGAACTACTCTCGTAATGAGTGCGATGCGGCGAACTTTTGAAAAAGTCTCCGAAGCCTCCCCGATTCCTCCGTAAATCAACATCCTGCTCGTTTCTATTATAATAAATGTAGCTTTATTGAGACGGTCCCCCATCATCTCTGGTTCATCCGCTGCTTAATGTTTCGTTGCGATCGTATGAGCCCAATCCCAACAATGCTCCCAACAACCTTCAACATCATGACGACTTCTATGGCCCGCTCTCTAACAAATTATTTTCGGTAGATCCGAAACCTCGAGAACAGATACTTCTCCGCTAACATGCTTGAATATTAGATTAGGAATGACGGTGCTCAAAATGTGTTCATGTCGTTGACGTAATAGAGACAAGGTTCTGCATCAACGACGTTTTTGGTCGACGGTTCTTCCCGAACCTCCTCAAAATAAGAATGCAGACGCTTCATTGTCATTTGAAACGGACCGAACCTGCCGAGACTATCATGGACAGCGCGAAGTCTTCAAGTAAGTTTACTGATCTTCGCTGGCGAAGGTGATCCCGGCGAATTCGCGGCTTTGATTCCCGGCGAAGCACTGCGCGATGTCGTCTCTACTTTGGGCACGTCACGCTCGCTCTCCGGTTTCTCATTGGTTCGAGGTGAGATCCCGTTTTCTGCTTCCCACTCGGAGAGCACGTTGTCGAGCTTATAACGGTCTCTGAAACGATAATCGATTTCTGGTGAGAAAGGCAGATCCAAGTCGACGGACTGTTCTGTAGATATTTTCGGACGCTCGTTCGGCTGTGCTCGAGCCTCCACCGAATTTTATTCACCTCTGGTTCGCGTAGAAGCTCTTGACGTGCGTTTCGGTTTTGTTGCCAATGACCTCAGCGATCGCTTTGAAGTCCACTCCGTACTTGCGAATGCCTTGAACGGCCAAGAGCATTTCGTCGTTGGTCCATCGAGGATTTGTCTTACCATTAGTCTCTGGAGGTCGCAAATGATCGATACCCTTGGCAGTTTCGTCTTTGAGCTTCGAAATGTCAGCTTTGTTCAATTGAACCTTGAATGGGAGGACGAACTTCAATTTCCCCCTCATCGAGAATTCCCAAGTTCTGACAGCAAGAAGCGGAATTTGTGCTTGGCCGGGAGTAAGTTCAAGAGTGGCCGTACCTGACGTTTCAATGAGCAGAGCTCAGAATCGAGGCCCTTGAGGATGGCATCCCCCTGTCCCGTGGGGCCAGACGCAATGCTCATCAAGTCCTGATAGTTCAGGTACATTCCTTTCGGGGGCTTCTTTTGCTTCTTCAGATCGGCCCCGGTAACACCGTTCCCTCCACCGAGTCCGACAATGTGCTTCGAGAGCCCACCCGACTTTGGCAGCATCCCGGTTTTCTTCCAATGCTGATTACAGTTTGAGCAGAGACTGCCCTTCGGGGAGTTGTGGAGACCGTGCGGAGCGTTCTGATTGCAGTTGCTGCAGATGTCTTTCTCGTCCACATCCGACTCGTTCTCGGTGGCGTTTCCGCTTTCTTGAATATAAAACGTCGAAAATGAGTAACATTCTCTCGGAGAGGCAACAACGACAGTCGATACGTTTTCGGTATTCGGAGCTGGACTTCTCTCCTGCTTGCATAGGTCCCGCTCCGGGCACATTAGACCGCTTACCTCCATCTTCCGGCTGCTCGTCGTGTCTCAACCGTCTAGCTTGTCTGTCCATGAGCGAAACCCTGTTTTTGGTCTTCTTCCAGGAATAGTAATATTTTACAAGAGAAGGAATCGATTTGTCGGGAAGCATCTGCCGAATTTTGGCGAAATTCTTCCCGTGAAACTGATAAGCTTGTTCGAATAGTACTTTATCCTCAACCGTCCACTCGTCTGGCAAAGGAGTGAAATTAGGCAAATCGTGGATAGCTTTGTCGATGTCATACGCGTGCCAGAACAGCATGCCTAAGGCTTGCTCTCCGTTGTAGCTGGAACGGAGAACGACCATTGCTAGCTTCGGCTCAGAAGGCTTCATGATCATGGTGGGAACTTGGGCTCTCCTTGGTCATGCTTCTCGGGATACTCACCCATACTTCTCCTTGGCTAAACAGATATAATCTTCGAGACTATTGTCAGACATGTTGCTCTCAGGCTTCCACACGAGCAGAGCCTTCTCTGGCATCGCAGCAGGACAAGGTTCCGTCGATGATATCAGTTCTGGGCACGTCGCCTGATAGCAATGGCCGATGTGGATCACGTTCTCTGGAGGAAGAGAGCGGAAAATTATCTCTGATAGCTTCATTTCGCCTTTTGTGCAGCTCGGAGAGCTCCCGAACTACAGCTCACTATTCCCCCTTTAAAAATCCGCCACCCTCCGCGTTCGCGAAATCGATTATGGGAACGGAGGCTGCGCTATTGACGTTGGATCATCACAGAGATCTCATCGCTGATCCTCTGGAATCAGGAAGATCCCCCACAGCTCCTCATGAAATCCACATGAAGCCGTGCATCATTTTTCAGCGTTTATTCGATGCTTTATAGCGCACCGGGGTCCCCTATTGTTTCCCTTCTGCCTGCTCCCCGGGACCGAGTGGACCTACATATGTAGGTCTCAGGGACTACCTTCCAGACAAAGGCGGCCTCTACGTGATAGCTTCCCCTCTGATGGAAACCTGCCGAGTTATATTCTTTTCAGCACTCATCGGTAGAGCGGATCGCGACCCTGTTTTTCGGATCGGTGTTTTTTCTAAGATAATTCGAATGATCCCTCGTCGAGCTAAGTCCGTGCGAGGAGTGGTGGACGGGGAGCCGGGAGAAAGTTGATGGGGAAGACCGCGTCATTGAAACACCATGCTCTTTGTGCTCGGTGGTGGTTGGTAGTGGAGACCACAGGTACCGCTAGAGATCCACATGGCTTCGGACTGATGACTCCAGAAAGTTCGTTTCTTCGACGTTCGATATAAAACTGTGAGGAAAGACTTCGGAAGCCTCTATGGACTATTGTACTCAAAGGAGAGATATAAGTCGTGATCTACATCGTGAGCAGGAGCTTCGTCAACATTAACCGATCGGCTTCGTGCCGGGATCTTACCACGCTCCCGTTCGTCGTCGTCTGAGTCTCCATGATGGCCATTGTTGGCAAGAACCATCCTCCGAGCCTGAGTTTCCACCTTATCCATCGTTGTCGAGAAAAGTCTGACAGCAGAGAAAACCGACACAACCCGTCCGAAGTGAAACACCACTCGCACTGTAATGCAACCAGCACTCTCAGGCAAGCACTCTACAGGCGGCTGGCGCGGCAGAATATCATGTTCCCAGCGATGCGGCCGCGTGCTCTGAGAGGAGCTAGATCTTCGGAAACGGCTCAAAGAACTTTCTTTTGAGCGGTCAGCGTCATCGAATTTAGACTAATTGGGCCAAGCAGGTCCCATAAACTACAAAGGAGGCGTATCATTACGTGGCGGACCGTACTGGTGAAGTTAGGTGAAAAGTTCGGCCAGATAGCAGCCCGCGTACGGAGAGCCGTCCTCGCTGAATAACGAATTTGAATCTTCAGATGCGAGAGAAGACTGAGGCGGAATTGAAGGCGGAGTGCGCGGTACAGATTCTGGATGGCATGGTCCAGTTCAATCAATTCCGTTGTCATTTCGAGGTTCCCGGATCCGGGAAGTTCATCGAGGACGGCGCTCCGTAGGAACGACCGCGTCACTAGCACGGCCGATCTCAGTCGACTTTGGCGGCATTCGTTTGCATAACCGCGCGCATGTGTGGAGGTCCGAGTGACTTCCTCACGCTTCGTCTTGGAAATTATAGCTTATTTTTCTCTACCCGCAATCTCGGTCACTCCATCATCAGTTCCAGATCACACAGACTTCCGATTCTGGAGTGCGAGATGCAATATTTCGTCGGAGGAGCGATTCTTCTTATCGGAGCGGAGATCTCGTAAGATTGTCATGAGGGAACTCCGGAGTGCGTCACGTTCGCTGGGACGCTGCTCACGAGGCTTGATATCAACTCGGCGCATTCGCTCCGGAGTTGGGGACTTCTCGGAATTTGGATCATTTCTCTTGCGAGCGGTGATGGGTTATGAGTTATGAGTAGAGGCTGGTGAGAGAGGATTCCTGTCGTTAGACTCTTCTTGATGAACATACGTTACTCCTGATGCTGACAGAAATTCGTAGAGATCGAGAATACATCCAGCTGTCGACATGATCCCATATGGACGTGTGTCGAGCTGGCGAAATCAAGGAAGGGCGGAAGGGAAGTTGCTGAAAACGACAAAACCCTTGCAACAGAATTTCTTCAGGCTGGACCACACAGACAGACAAGGTTCAAAGGTCCAGGTATAGTTCATCATCTTGCGGCCAAGGACGGATCCAGAGAGCTTCTTGCGAGGTTTCCGAGAGACCGATCCTCCAACGTGGGAACCTTGAATTGAATGACCGCTAGAACGACTGCTATTCCAGATAGCTGGTCCTTGCCTGATCGCCATCTGATCTCACAGTCCCATCTCCAGGGACCGTGCCCCAGTTTAATTCGCCTCCGAAACACGGAGGCTAGACGAGGTATCTCAATCTTGTGATGACTCACTGACCGATATATGTGCGGTCCTCCTCTAACCCGGAGGTGACATGCGGCAAAGCCTCGGGCTCCTGGATGGTCACCGGAAAAAACTCTCTATCTCGCCCCGACTCGTGCAGTCCCATCCTTGATCTGCAGTTTCGAAATTCGCTGCGTGAAGCCCGCGATCGCACTCCCAGAGACTTCGTGGAGCAATTCTTCAGGGTCATCCGATCAGGGCAGCATCAGGATTGAGAATGATCTTAAGATGTCTGTTGTTGGATAAAAAACAAAGAGCGATAACGTCAATGTTGATGCGAAACTTTATTCCGCGCGATCTGCACTCCTCAATGAGCGATGTGCATGTAACAAGCTCTCGAATTTCTGAACAAGAACCTTGAGGAGAATGATATCACATCTGTCCTACTTCCCGAGCATCTTATAGCTCAGTTAGCATGTGCGAAGAGCCCATCAATATTCATCTTTTGCGTCGATGAAGCGTGACCGGAAACCCCAAAACTGCAACGTCCCAACAATGGGATGAGATATCAGAATCGCTCGTTCTCAACGAGAAGAGAGCTCACGTACTTTTCAAGAATCTCCGACCTATACACTTCGGCTGCTTGATAAGGCAAGCGGATCGACGAGGATTGTAGGACAGCGTCTCGCATTTCGCTTTTGTGTTGGCAAGGTATCATCTCTTCAATGGAGGTCCAAAGACTTTCGGGGTTTGGTTTCGAGCTCGCGGCATTCGAATCGAGCTTATCGACGTAGTTTTTGAAGTGCCGATAGCACAGACATTCGTACAGCACTAAATGGAAAACCCGGAAACTGATTGCATGGCCAAGAAACTTCGGCTTCGTGCTCAACAGGGTCTGCAATGAGAAATCACAATCCGACAGACATCGGTCGACGAGATCGACCAAGACTTCACAGCGTAAGTAATTGGCATCGGGAGAACACAGCGAATGGAAAGTTTTATGGAATATGAACACATTGGAGATCCGCAGTGGGTTCAGAGCCTTCAGACACACGACGTGCCGTTCAAGCGAATCTTCGGGATGACTGAAATATTCCTCGATAAACTTCAGCGGCTGTTCAGGTTGGGCGAGCATGATATCCATGAGGAGACGATTCATGGAGTCCTGGATCAATTGGCGTCGTTTGTTCGTGACAGTCGGCGATCTTTTTGGGGAGTCTGGCACACTCCGAGAGTGAAGCGCCTTCCCAGGTGAGGTCATCGTTGTTATTGATTTATTCACGCAATTTACTGAACATTTTTCGGCAACGGGGGAAATAGAACGTTGCCTCGCGGCAGACAACCCCTTGGCAGAGCAACAAAAACCGTTGTCCAGGAAACGGGAGCGCGAGAGGAGCAAGGCGGGTTTCGAGTGCGGGAACACATGCGGTAGGACAATGATTAGTATTATACAATGTCCCCGTGGTAGAGTGTTCTATCTGCGAAGGTTCGCGCTCAACTCTATCCATCTCGGTTGTGTTGCGTTGAGATTGCGCATGGTCCCGTCTCGACCTTTCCGTCGAGCACTATCATGAAGTCCGATCCCGAGTTCCCCGATGCACTTTCGCTCGCGCTCGATCTCGAATCCAAGGGGGATTGGTCCTCGGTTTCGAACTCGAGGGAATTATGTTCATCATTTCCAGCTCCTTTCCGGCCTCAAGACCTTCTCCGGACTATCTAAGATCTGGGTGAAGATTCTCGCCATGGGAGGAACTCCATAGCTCTGGGTGAGCATCTTCTGGAGGTCAGAACTTCGGATGCATGTGATCCGGAGAGCTCTACGCGTGGGAAAAGAGCTCGAGACTCGCCCATGATCCAGTGTCCTTTTTTCTGACGTCAGCGTCGGGTCAGCTGGATTGCGTACGCGATCGAGAGTCGTTTCTGAGCACGGACCCTTCCCTTCAGATCCTCCTCCCGTGCTAAGTTTCAAACTCCCAACTCGCCCGTATTTCCTCCAAAAGGGAGGTCTCTGAGACCAGGGTGATAATGTAGGTTCCTCGCTAACAATGAATAAGGATACGAACACGGCTCGCGAGGAACATCGAGAAATCCTTTGGTTGAAATCCGGGCGCATGATCACCGATCACTCAGGCTTGCCACACGCATCATAATTCATCGCCATCGGGTTGGAATCGACCTTCCAAAGTCCTGGCCGATCTTCTCCAATACCGGAGCTCTGCATGCACGCATGGATTCATGAACGTGGGTCTTTTTCGGCAGAGGCCTTCTGGAAGAGACCAGGGTAACTTTAGAAGGTAGGAAGATCATTATTCATTATCCGCTCCTCGAACGCCGGGTGAGAGGAGCAAACGAAGCATCGACTACAGCGACGTCTGCCCCCCATAATCCATGTTGAGGAGCCGGACATGCCAGCAAAGATCAGCATATCATCGTATCCAATCCACATTCCGACGGACGGAGCAACCGTCGAGGTATAAACATTGCGGAACTACAGTGAGACTTCAGCTGCTCAATGCCTCCACGCAAGGATCGACTGCAATCTGTGATCGGCTCCTAAGTGTCGCCTCAGGCACGTGAGGATAAATTAAAGCTCGTCTACTTAGGGAGCCAAGACGAGCCTCGGCCATGGACGGTCCCACATCCAAGGTAAATTCTTAGTCAGGACTGACATGAGAGCCTCCTTGGAACAGGTGTCTCTTTTGTGTTTAGGTACCTTTTTGGCGCCTGGGCGGGAATGTACGCAAATTATTGGGCAATTCCCCCGGGAACCTCGTCAGAACGACTTCTGGGTCGGATGTGATGCTTCGGGATACGTCGACCGTTCCGGAAGAATCGGTTCGCCTCTGTAGATCTCTCCGGAGAAGCACCCGACGGATATCCGTCAGGTTTCATGACAGGTCTCATCCGAAGCGTGCCAATCCTCGCTCGGTCCCACTATTGTCCTTTCTCCGCCCATCCGATATTCCATCCTGGCTGTGAGGGAGTAACGGATGTAGTCCACGAATAATTAGATCAGAATCCGTGATATGTATTATCTCATTGACAGGCTCCTATGTTCACGAAGGACGACATCCTCAACGAGCTTCTATCGACGGAGGGCCGCATGTTGAACTCGCAGCTCGTGCTGCGTTTCGCGCACTACTTCAAAAACCCCTCGACGAAAGAAGGTAAACGAGTTCGAAAGTTTTCCTCTCACCCTAAGAGTGTGTTCTGAGCGACCAGATTCTTACAAAGCACGGGGTCGATTTGCAGAGGCGAGGGCGAAATTCAAAGATTACGTGAACAAGATGGCCACGCTGATCACGGATCCCAAAACCGGTGAAAAGTTCCTAGTCCTCCGGCCCGAGGTCCGTGAGCAGCTCCACCAACGGAATTTCGCACCAGCTGGCATGAATCTGCCGTCGACGAACGGTCACCTGCCAGCTAGAGGGAGCCAACCGCCTCAAATGTCGGAAGATCCACCGAAGATATTGCATTCGAAGGCAGCTCATCGGAATCCTCACGGAAAACGTAAGCTCGTCCTAAGAACAATGTTATCGACCTCTGGACTTAAGTTGGGAATCTGAATCACTCAGATCTGGACATATCCACAGCTCCGCCGCAATCTCAGCCGCAAGCCCCGATGCGCCCGTCCCGACAGCCTCCCATGTATCAACAAGCCGTGAATGCCTCGAAAATGAGTCGACCTCCGCAGGGTGTTGGGCAGCAGAATTTGGCCCAACCGCCGGCCCCTCATCCCTCGCAGGGCCGACCGTCATCATTGAAACTCGTCCACGACAGTCATTCGTTCATGCACGGGGATCCGGGACACCAGAGACGGAGCTCAGCAGGAACAATCAACACCCAGCTCCTTCAGCAGTCGGGAATGGTGATTCCAAAAAGTTAGCATCACCGAATTCCAAATCTATACACCGGGAGCTCGAGGGAAAAAAGAGAAATCCATAGTACGAGTCCCTCGATTACGGAGCGTGACGCCGTGAGCCGGGCGCAGACAATCGCGAACCCACCGGACAGCGACACTCATGAAATCTTCGATTTACAGATATTAGCGGAGGCTCGTTGCCCCCGCCGCCCCCGTCGAGGTCCTTATCGAAGAGTGTACCCAGTCTCTTGAGTGAAACGGATTCACCGCCCGCTGTCCCTTCAAGGAGTCGGAGACACTCTACGAAAGGAACGGTCGTCGAGGAAAAAGTCAAACAGTTTGCCGAGAAGGAATTCGTGAAGGTGAGTCGGGGATACGATACTCGCGGAATTGTTCGGGATCGATTACCGTCATATTTATGTTTGACAGCCCATGATCTCGTGGAATTCGAAGAGTCCGATTATTATTTCTCTGTTTGTTAATATTCGAGACAGGCCAACATCGGAAGCTTCTCGAATGTCATAAGCCGACGGTAGCTCTTCCAAGCCAACTGAATAGCTTCAGCGTTCCATTATGATCCGTTTGTTTTTCCTATCGGATCGAGTGACAGATATTCAGCATTCGCAGTCACGTCGCGTCATGCTCATTTGATACTACGGGAGCGATACCGTGTCCAAACCGGCTAGAGCGAGTAATCCGAGTCGGCATCGACCTGAGAAAAGCAATCCCTAGAAAAGCACGAGTCGAGCACGAGTTTCGCAAGCAATGCACGACGAATAACTTATCTCTGAGGGAATAAATCCATCGAAATTCCCGGGCACCATAAATACAGCAAAGACTGCATCGCCTTTGTCCTGCGTTCCGTGTCGGGAAGATCCCATGTGACGCCAAGGTCACGCTCGATTTATTAGACCGTCGTCGCTTGACATTAGTGTCCCGTTGAGAACGATAATTAAGCGGGCAGTATTCTGTCAAATGTTCCGTTCGTCAGTGGATGTCGTCAACGGGCAGGTGAGAGAACGACTGACCGAAAGAATGGCCGATCCGGCGACGCACTGGCGAGGGGATGAGTGCGCGAATATTTGTGCGGCCAAGCTTGCTTCCGGCGTTACGCTCGCGACCCGAAGAGCCACCGGTGTTATTCGATGCGACGAGAGGACGCATGGGACTTTTCCTGTATCTCTCGACGATTTTTTGCTACGTACCTCGAACGGCTGAGCTGGCCATATCTTTTTCGCGGGATTGAATCCGCCGTCCCCGATGTCCGAAATTCCGTGTCCGCTTGCGTAATTCGCTCAATTCCGCTTGGATCATCCCACGGCTCGAGGATGGAATGCTCATTGTCCTGACTCATTAGGCAAAGGTGCGTGTAGCAGAATCGTTCAACTCTGGCCAGCTTGTCTACGAACGAATCGGAGAAAAGGTCAGTTCCACGTGTGGCCTTCTTCCACGCACCGGGAACCGAATCTTGAGAGCTTGCGTTTCGGGGGGTCTCGAGGATACTTTTCAAGCATTTCTCCTCCGTGGCCCGCGTACTCCACAGCCTCAGCGCGGGTCTAAGGAGGACATTCCGCTATTCCCGTAGAGAACTGATCGAGGTTTCGGGGAGAGTCCGACAATTCCTGCGGCTACGGAATTCGGATCCCATCGCAGCCCCGGACGGCGTTGAACGAAAAGTCTCCGGTCGGGAGTAAGATTGTCGTACATACATTGGGCGGCATTTACAGGCGGCGTGGCGTGTCTACTCGCTCCGGTGGCAAAGACGAACCAATTGACGTGACTCGTTTCCTTTTCACTCGTGAACACTTTCCCTGAGATTGACGGTTCGCTCTGAACGGCTCCATTCGACGTTTTCCCCAACTGATCCGATCGCTTGCGTGTTCTGACGAATCAGTGCTGTGGGAAGTTCGGTCGAGTTTTTTCAGACTGGCGACATGACCTTGTCTATGCGAAGTCCAGCTGTCCGAGAGCAAACTTCTCCCTCGTCTATGATGCCTTATTTTCTCCCAGCTACGTCAAGCTGTCCGAGTGCTGCCTCGAAGTGACACTCGGGTGTTTACCTGCATCTTGAGTGAGTCTGAAAGGTATTGCGGAGTTTTGGTTCTCTAAGCGGGATGGTCGAAATCTACGAATCACTGTGCTTCTCCGCTCGTTCTCTCTTTCTTGCCTGGTTGGACGAGCTCCTTCAACAGGGAGCTTCGCGTTCGTCGATCGCGGGTGTTTCGGAGATTAGATTCGGCTCAAGACTGTTTTTTGACGGCAGTCTCCACTGCCCGTCAGATTCAATAACGAAGCGAAAGATGCTGTCATATTAGAAATTTGGCGGATCCATCTTCATTAGTGAATGTAGTGTTTCTCCATTTCGTCCGATGGAGCAGTGAGTCACGGGCTTTTCGAGTGCTCGCGGGGAACCTCCCCCGGTCGCGCGTTGATCCAGGATACAGCGTGGAAATTTAGTGCGGCATGATGGATCGAACCGGGAACGGGGCGTCCCTCACATCATGCGATCGACATGAAGGCGGGGTCAAGAACTTAGCTCCAATGAGAGATCCGAGAGGAAGTTTGATCCGTGAAAAGTCGTTTTTGGAGGGCCACGCAGCTCGGAGCGATTCGTCGGCACGTTCCGAATCCGTATGTCACGCGGAGCGCGATGACTCGATGTACACCGTTCAAAGATGGCCCTCAACTCTTCCTTCAAGCTTCTAATTTCGGAATCTCGGACCCTCCAGGATGATGTCCGTCAGACCGTGACGGAAAAAACGTCGGTAGCTGTGAGTCCCGGTACTGTAATGGAGAAGGTGCGCATGCTGAAAATGACTTCGGACGGAAACCTGACAGCCCCGCAGCCCCAAATAAATATCAGGCCCGCACAGAACAAGGACTCGGGACGGAGGGTCCTCAGTTCTCGGAACGTAAGTCTGAACTTGCCCGAGGGCTCCCTCTATCCGTCATATACCGGTGCTGACGCGTTTAGACACGGAGTTTTTCCCCACAGTCGAACCAGGATTCGGACGACAGATGCTCTGTTTCCACGCTGGACCCTGCTAGACGAGAATTCTGTCGGAAAGCTATGACATGCGACTACCAGTCCATGCAGAAAATGTTACAAGAGGAGCCGACTCTGGCAAAAGCCATCGATTACGTTCTCGGTTATAATGCTTTGCATTGGGCAGCGAAAAATGGCAACAGCGATGTTGTGAAACTCATAGCGGGAACTTACAATGTCGACCCGAACATCAGAACCCGCGGGGCTGTAAGCATCTCAATATAACTATTTTCGACTCCATCGATTTATTCCATTGATCAACTGACCACAACTGAGAGGGAGATAGCTCGACTACAAGACGTGTTCGAAACAATTTCCAGGGCCAGACACCGCTTCACATCGCTTATATGTTCAACCAGAAGTCCATTATCGACCTCCTCATCATGACGTACGGTGAGTCGAACTCTCACCATGACCATCCCGTAAACGATTCATCTGGAGAGCGGCCCTCGAATTTGTGTATAGTCGATAACTCCCAGAACGCACCGAATCACTGAGGTGTTCCCTTCTCACCGGGACTTTCAGGTGCCCAAAAGGACATACGTGACTTCAGTGGACGGAAGCCAGATTTCTACGGAAATCAGAAGAATGTCGAAACGCTTCGTTCAAAAATCTACCATCAGAAGGAAGAGAAGGAAGATAAGTCCGAAGAGAACACGTTTGCAAGTAAGCACAAAGTCGGGAAAACGCGGCGAATAATCGACAAGGTTGTGGGTCGAGCCGAAAACTGGAGGCATCCAGTTTTGAGGAGCATTTCGGCCGTTGAAGATTACGGAAGACTCGAGAGAAAAGCCACGAATCGATCTACCTCGGTGGAAACCCATTGACTTACCACTGGAGTGAGACTACGAGAGGTCTTCAGCCTTACTACTTAGTTTACGAGGCGACGGAGTCGGCGCGGAGTCTGCCCTGCTTTTTGTTTCAAGTGGGCGAAGAGACCTTCGATAGCCGGAGTCCATCACGCACTCAGCAATCTCAGTGCAGCTTTACTCACGGAATTCCGTCAAGACCAAAGATTTTCAGAGGATCTCAAAATGTTTTTCTGATTCTAGTGTATCAATTTTCCCGATATCGTGTTAATTTACTGTCGTTCATCGTTGGATGAACGAGGTTTCTGCCTCATTCGATTCGGGTCCGAGTCGAATAGTCGCTTAAGTTATCGTAGTTGATGGTGGTATGGATTTTTTCCCAATTCTTGTACTACTACTTTTTCCATTACTATTATTACCAGCAATGGCATCATCCGATCGACTTTCACATTTCATGAGGAAACAACTTGTTTAGTTTATAGTTCTTCATGACCAACGGGACAGGCGGTCAATCGCAATAAAAAAAAGAATAATTTTGTTTGACAATTCGAGCCAATGTTCTCTCCGCTTGTGAACCTTCTGGCTTGCATTTCGAAATCCTGTCCATCTCCCTTGCCACACGACGCGCCTTTGGCTCTAAACTGTTCCGCTGAACGAGAAATCCGTATGAATAATCTCAATCAGTCTAGATTCCTCTAATCCGATGGGTCATGTCAAGCTGACGGATGATAGTAATTCGTGAGTTTAATTCTTATTGGAAAAAACTGTAATTCATATTCTTACTGTTTGCTGTGAGTTTGTGAGGGCTTCGGATCTGCTCTAGGATGGCTTTTCTGTTGTCTCCATTCCTCTGAGTTCCTAATTTCCGTCTGGAAATATCGATGTGAAGGCTATTCTTCTAACCACCACTCGCTTTACAGAACCCGAGACGAAGCCATTTGCCAAGCGCTATGGATCATTCAATGTCAACATCAAGAAGACTCTCCATCACTTGAACCTCAAAAATTGGGAAGGTTTGGGTGGGGTGGACGAGGAATCCCACAGTCTTCCCCCATTACACAGGGCAAGTCGTAAACTGCCCAAACGAGCTAAGCGCACTGCCTCACTACTCTCATCGTGAGTCTCTCTTCTCCTATTGAGGGTGTTCATTAAGGTCGTTCATAGGTTTTTTCGATTCAAGTTGACAACTTCTCGAGCCTTTCGCTTTTTTCCCCCTCAGGGTGACAGGACGCTCAACAGCCCCACCAACGTTGACTGAGGAGAAAGCGGACTCAGATTCCGACAGTGCTTATGGGTTCAATTCTTGATATCCAAAGCTTTGCGTTTGCAGTTACATGTGTACAATACGAATGTAAAGTTCCCAGCTCGCGCTTCGGTGCGGGGCGGAGGAACGCGTCGTCAGTGGCCGCCGCTTCTACGTCGAAACGAAGATGTCACTCTTGACACTCCTTGGCCCGTCGCTCACTTTTATCCCATCCGCAATATACAATAAGTTTACCCATGGATTCTATCATGGGTTTTGTCGATGGGTGCTCCCCCGTTCCGAAGAACTCCGAGGTCTGTTCTTCGGTGAGCCGGGGACCTCACATGAATTGTGATATTGTTGCCGCCATCGGTCCCTTCCTGCTCACAACAATAGAGTGATTGATGAACGTGTGCCACGATCAGCAGATTTCAGAGGAATTCCAAATAGCTGGCATGGATATGCAGAGCTCAAAACTCTGGCGAAGATCCGGAGTAGATTTCTCCCTGGATTCAAAACTCGCGATGTTCGCGGTATCCCCCTATCCAATGTACATAGTTCACGGGGACGTAATGGAGCGAGCGATAACCTCGAAATCGGAACCTTCTGCACAAATATTGCGCGATATGGAAGGTCTCAAATAAAAGAAAGAAGCAGGTCGCAGTTAATATAGAGAATCATGAGATGCTCCTTTCAGTAACTTAGTTCTCCCGCTTTATTCTCTTCCATTCGTGATTCTTAAAAAATGGGCACAAGCTCACTAATCGTAACATTGCTCGGCCGTATTTGAAAACATCCTCGGACACCGTCGTCATATCGAAATACAGAATTCGGGTTCGGTCCCAAAAAGGCCTCCTTCACGTACGAACTTGGAATTTTCCACCTTTGGTTATGTATTTGACACCTTTGAAGGGCTTGTAACTCTGAAATTGAGAATGAGGAAGCGATTAGGATGACGTCTATTCGAGGACCCTATGATATGATGAGGAAGATCATGCTTTACGCTCCTTTTTCACCCCAGTCAGACGCACGCAGGCAGGCACGCTATTCAAAGTGTATCCCTAATCACTTCCGAGCGGAAGAACCTCCAGGATCTAGACCCCGTGTCGCAAAACCGTCCGGCCGACATGTTTGTTCGATCGGGAAGAGCTCCGCCGTGACGCATTTCAACATGGAAATGACTTCGGGCTTCATATACGAGGATTTTGTGCGCAAGGGTTATTGATGTCAACAAGGGGGAGAGTGCATCAACCAGGTCTGTTAGTGGCGCCTAGGATCTAGCTCAGCTTCCAGGCAAGCTCTCCTCAGCCGTGGAGCCAATTTTGAGCAAGCAAGCTTAGTGACTTCCTCGGGCAATCCTTATGCACTGAGATTTTATCCACTATAGAAGACTGACACACTACTGAAGCCCTGTCGAGGTCTCCTTTCCTTAGCGTACCGGACTTGGCGCGATCTGTTTGTGAAGAATCCCAGATTCATACTCCATCAGGCAGTTTCCTCCACGGTACTAAAAATACCCCGGTGGTCAGATACGAGCAGAGTTATGAATCTCTCTGTCTAGAATCGAGTTTTTTTCTCAAGGATCTCGTAGCTTCTGAACTCGAGCCGACGCACGTTAAGGAAAACGGTCTAGAAAAGCTCGGTGGAGCTCTGTACTAAAAAACCAGTGTAAGAAATCTCGGGTAGATCATTATTAGGGCTGGGAATTCATCACGGCACTTTTTCCGAAAATTCACGGTGCCGTGAATTTTCGACCTTGGGAATGCCGGGTAGGGGATACTATTGGGCTGATGACCCTTTTTTCGGCATCTCTCTAACGCCAGGTTCTATTTCCGATAGTGGAATCCTCATCTCCTCGTGGAGACAGCTCCTAGAGGTCGGGAAACATCTCGCAGAAGAGTGAAAAAAAATTCACGGCATCACAGGAAGAAGGAAAATTCACGGCTTTCGGCGCGACCGTGAATTCCGTGATGGATTCCCAGCCCTAATCATTATGGATTGATCATTCATGCCTCAGACTACCCGAGTTCCGTTGTGAGTGGTGATCGGTGAGCAAGAAACGATCACTGCTTACCTCTCCGTACATATCGAGACGATTGACCTTCACTCCGGACACCGCTAGACTCTGTATGCTGAAGTGAACGCTAATGATAGGTTGGCTCTCCGGTGGGGGCGCTCCGCTGATGACGGAGATCGACCCCCGTATATTAGGTTGTTTCCCGATCTGTGAAGGAGGGAATTCATTTGAGACACCGAGCCCGAAATTGAAGCCGGGAGTCTTATGACTTCAAAGTGGACTTCGAAGCGGCGGAATTTTTTATGCCCGGTTATCGAATGTAATCGGCCAAGTTTCGGGCGAGATATTCATTCAGGAATGGAGGGGAAGCCCAGGAATTACCTCGATCTTGCCGACGTTCCATATGAGCAGCTTCGAGGTTGGCTCGAATGAGTATTTGCCCTGACTGGCAGTGAGCGAAACGTTTAGAACACCTTTGGGCATCGTCATTTCCAGGATAACTTCGTCGACAGTTTTACCCATCGGGGTCTTCGCACCGACAGATATATCTAGCCGACCTCCTCCGGGCTCGCGGAAAGATATTTGGTTCCTGCAAGACATCGCGAACATCTCAGACTTGCTGGCCGATTCTTCATGAATCACGGACATGGAAATGCGCTCGCATTGAAGCGGCGCTCAAATCGAGCCTGCACGCGAATTCTGACCCGAGCACATACAGGGATGTGCGCACGAACGTGCAGTAACCTCATTACTCACCTGACATTGATCGGTATGTTCACTTGATTTTGACTGTTGATATGATACGTCATGAGACGGAAATTTCCGTCTGGAGGCACGAAGGACAAGACTTTCTCCGATTCCCAGCGCCGGAACCTCACGCAAGGATGAAAAGAAACGTCGTCAAATACTCGGGGGTTCATGAAGTTCAGAGTGAGGTCGGGCATTCCTGACAGCTTCATGGAACAGTCGATCTGGGAAGGAGAGATCGGGTTCGAAGAAATTCGAAGCTAGGGTCCAAGAATCGACAACCACAGCCGGGCGGCGATTCCTTATCTAGGTTCATCAATGGCCTAGAGAAACTGATAAGCGATGACTCACCCTCCCTTGAATTTCCGCTGATACGATGGCTCCCGTTTTGTCTATGATGGCATCAACCTCCTCTATCACATCGAAATACGCTTCATTATTTGTATATTTAACTCCAGCTCTCCTCCAAGGCACGCAAGACAGCTGACCGGTAGGTAGCGTCGCCGAAACATTACTGCGTCCTGCAACGAATCTCTGCGCTCAGCCTTTGGATGACACGGAAGACCTCGCTCACGTCTAGCGCATAAATTCAAACAATTAGAATCGAATGTTCCCGGAGCCCTGTTTGTCACTCGACTCGAACGCACCTGTCACCGTGTTGGCGATGGTCCGAAGCAAGTTGGGGGGTTTGATCAATTCCTTGAGTATGTTGAGCTCCGTCGCGAGAGGGAAGCCGTTGTCGAGCATTTCATCCAGTAGTTCGTATACGACCACGACGTGCTCTTTCAGGGTGGACTCGTTGCAGTCGTTGAAGTAATCCACCAGAGTATCAACAACGCGATGGAGGAACTCAATAATGAACAGGGGGGACACTGGAATAGTTTTTGATATCCCAAATCAGCAGAGGCCGCATCATCGACCATTATCATCCTGTTGATAGCAGTAGTTCACTTGGCGAAGATGCCGCCGTGGCTGGTGCCGGGATGATGTTCAGAGATCTCACCTTCGGACATCGTGATTGCCAGGAAGAATAGTTTGTTGCGAAGTATGGAGATCAAATAATGATGCGGCGTGGCAATGACCGGTGGAATGTCCTGCGGACTACCGGCTCTCGCTTGCGCATCGAAGAAGTAATCACAAACCGATCTCGGAATCACAGATTTCCAGTGTTTCTCCAATAAAACATCCCTGAAAGATGAGCATCATCGCATCAAATGAGAGTACCAGTAGTTGAGCGATACTTCTCTTAGAGACTACGAGCACTTGGAAGAGAAGTGTCCCTTGAAAGCTTGGACCTGAGACGAGCTAAATATTTGATAGGCCCTCCAGTCTAAGGCGTTGCCTGAGATGTGATTTGCGGCCCTCCTTCCGGGCAGGCCAGAGCCAGGACCAAGCGACGGATTCCTAATGCCGATTATGAAGAACTTCGATAGCGAGAATTCCCCCAGGAAAAGCACCAAATTGGGAAATTGGTTTCCCAGACCAGTTCAAAATTATTCTGCTCGGGGGAGGGCGGAAATTCCCCAAGAAAGTCGAACAGATGGCACGAACAGTGTATCCGGATGGGGGCACCTGCCGACTTCAGGACAGTGAATCTAACACTGAAGAAAGAAGAGTCGAGATATTCCCACTGGGAAACTCACCCGGACGGGTTGATTATGAACAGACTGTGTATCATCTTGCGGCGTCCACTCTCGGAGCGGACTAGCGCATGCACAAGAGCACACCGTCACTTCGCTCTGGGTTTCTCTTCGATCTCCTTGTCGGTGCTGTCACAAGATGAGCACTAGATGCCCGCAGTGCTGCAAAGGAGCTCCCGAGGCTTGCGAGAAGATCTTCTCCGAATTTGACTTGTTTCTGCTCGGTGCTCTCGGTGAAGTACGAGCCCGATCCTCCTCGCAAGGAAGCCGTAAGAGAGGGAGAGGACCTCGATTCTCCCTCCTCTCCTGAGATTCGGTATTATTCGGGTTGGGGTCCAATCGGGCTGCCGCATCTAACGTGGCCGAGCTCCAATTTTGTTATTTCTCGGTGTTGCCCTTGCCACCAGCCACCAGTCTCGCTCAATCACATGTTAGAGGCTAGCAGACGAAAGAAGAAGGGAAATATTTAACCTGGCCTCCGCTGCTTTGGATATACGGCTGCCCGAAAATTTGAATGCCGGGGAAACCGCCAACGAGACTTCTGGGGATGAAAGACACCGAAAACGTCCTTCTCATATAACAATATGGAATCTGTAGAATTACTCCTGGTGCTCTGCAACCTTTCCTGCTCCGGCCGGCACCATCGCTTCGCGACCCCCTGAGACAAGCACGTGCCCTCGACGGGGGAGAACTATTTTATCACCACATCTTGGGATATGTAATGGAATACTCTGCGGAATATACAATCCTCTCATGCGATATTCAATCACATTCTAGGGATGCCCATCATTCGCGGAATGTCCATCATTCACGGAATGCGAGCGTGCCGACATCAGATGGTCCACCACGGAGCGGTTGCGGGCCGGTAATTGCCGTGAGGGTCATCACGGCTCTGATGAGACCTGAAGGAAGGTACGCCGAGAACTCAACGCAACGACACCCGTCATTGTAACCAGAGCCTGCTGAGGGAAGGTTTGTGATATCGATCTTGCTCATCGGATCGAAGTCAGTGCGTGATGCGGCGGTCCATGGAGTTCTGCATCTTCCCGCTTGACTGTCGACGCCCGGAGCTGATGGGAAGCGACTTCCACTTGATGTCGGATTCTGGGTCATGGAGGGCGCCTTGGCTGCCTTTCATGCCCTTAGACCTCGCGCGAATCTCAGCGAGCAGGAACGAGTCTTCCGAGGTACCTACGAAACGTATATTCCCCGAAGAATCTCGTCGACACTGCGCCCGAATCGCATTGGCTCTCAATTTTCTCCGAGTGAGGTGACCATCGAGGAAGCTCTGATTCCCACATCACGTGACACATGGAGACATCAGACTCTACCAATGTCGGTGAGGGACGCCATTAATCGACACATGACACATAGCAAGACACTTGAAACATGTCTCGATCCGACTTCGGTGAAGGACGTCCCAAGCCTTGACAGGTCATGAAATTTCTACCCGTGCACACCCCACCTTCCTTGGGCTCTGGGGAAATTGTCTCTCACCCCATGGGGTGGAGCAAGTTTGGGGAAACACGTCTGATTGTGAGTCGGAACATCAAGGTATGAGCGTCTGTCGCAATCGCAATCATGATTTCCATCCCCAGTTCATTGAATGTTCGACTCTCAGTGCAAGGGATACGTGACGAGCGCGAGGAGGCAACCCGCGCGGAAGTGGAATCAAGACTGGGGTCCGACACATGACAGATATGCGGTCGCATTACTATCCAGGCGGGCTAGAAAAGTCGGGCTGGAAAACTGCTGTACTTCCTCTAAAGGGAGGTTACCTCAAACTTCGATTTGGTCGTCCTCATGCCTCCTGACCGTTAGCGCGTCATTCGAATCCACCCGAAGCTCCTTTCTGCGCGCCTCCGGCATGGAATCGGAAAGAACGAAGTCTATCTTTTCTTGCATGCTGCGGCTCTGACTTTCTGACTGCGATCTCTGAGAGATGGACAGTCGCGAGCCTGACATCCTGTCCCGGATCAATGAAACATCGCACAAGAAAACCATTTGGTGTCATCCTCAGGGGCAGTATCACAAATAGAGCGAACAAGATGTCGATGACTTCTTGTTCCACAGAGAGAGCGTGACAACTACTGGGGACCTCATCATTCGGTGTAATAGGTGGCTTCTGTGAGTTCATGAAATTCTTATCCAGTTTCAAATGCGCGGCCGTGCGTGGATTCATTCCTTAGACTGGTGAATTCACCACGGATGTGCAATGTGCGATCTCTCAGTCTCCTCAGTCGTCGATCTTTTACGGCTTCAACGAAAAATCTGCGAACGCTTCCATTCCAGGAACATATGTCCTGCACGGGGCAAAATCAAACCCACTGGCGAGGTTATTCGAATGAACGGAGAAGTACATAATCATCAGCCTGAGTACTGCGGAAAGGCGTCCCTCGTCTTTACGGCCAGAGCCAGTTAGCTACAGAATTTGAGAGAGAATCCGCAGAACAGGCCGATGAAGACCATCATCGGCCATCGTCGCAGGTACTGTCCGATTATCATGGAGAAGTCCGAAGTCATCATCTGACTCCTATGATATCTCACACAGATTGTCGCAGGATGCTGCAGCCGAGGTAGTTCCTGTGCGACACCTCCGCACCGCGCGGCGGGTGGCCGCGTCAAGTAGGCCACCGCCCATCCAGACATTGCAGAATCTCCACAGAGCTATCATTGCTCACGACTTCGAAAGCTATACGCGCACCATCGACGGAAAGCGCATCAAAATCAGCATCCCGTGTGAGGAGTTTGACAGGGGTCTCATCACGACAAGGCGACAGCTTGAGTCTCTGACGCACACTACGGTCCTCCAGGCCGACGCGACGTATTAAATCGTCCGCTGAGGCCTGTGTCGACAGCTCTTCACAATACACGGGAATTGGGATGGATCTGTGAGTCCTTGAGCCCCCCATGTGGGAAGTAGATGGTCGGTTCTCTGGAGGGACCTCCTACTACGATGTATGGAGGAAATTCGGAACCCGGTTGAACTGTGCAGCGCCTCGGAGGATTTGAAGCTATCGCTCCCGGAAATCCAGATGGCGGCGGAGGAAAGAGAACAGATGGACGAGCAGGAGGAGGTGGAACCGGAGGAGGTGTTATCGGAGGTTCGAAAGAAAACCCAGGGTGAGGTGCAGAAATGGTGCAGGAAGAGAAGCAGGAAGGCTGCAGAGAATAAGCAGCAATAGCAGCAATAGGGAGTTGAATAAACTTTGGAAACATCGCGGCATAAGTTAGCGTTCTGAATTCAATATTTTTTGGTGAAAGAGTGGGGCGCAGGATGTTGAGGGAACTACTTTGAAGTGAAGGCACAACCGGCACCAACGGAGTTATTAGACCGTCGGGAGTGATTGTCTTTCATTTCGACGGTTGTGGGGTACGTTGTCGATTGTAGAAATCGGAAATGATAGCTCGGCTAGAATTGCTCTCGGAGCACGATCTATTGCGGAATTGCGGAGATTCGAGTGTAGAAGCACCGAAGCGGAGAGGGCATATGTTTATTGGACGACATGAGCGAATTCAACTCGTGAAAACGTTCCGATAGACGTCATTGAGCAGTGCGCCGCGATCGGAGCAGACTTCGATGCCATTCGGAGAAGGGACTCTGGACAACGCCACGTAGAGCTGGCCATGACTGAAAGGCTCCGTAGGCAAGTACAGGCCAGCCATGGAGAAAGTCTGGCCTTGGCTCTTGTTGACGGTCATCGCGAAAGCTAATCGAACTGGGGATTGGCGACGCTTCGACCGGAAAGGGATGGGGGAGTCGCAATAGTTGTCTATTCGAAGTGTTATCGCAAGCTGACCTTTCCTCTCACCACTGACGGAGATACACTTGAGGACGAAGTCACCGATCTCTACGATATTGAGCCTTGTTCTCTCGCAAAGTCCGTTTGAAACATCGAGATGGCGCGGCGACATGATGATGGCTGAACGGAGGTCATAGCCGTGAATTCGATGTAGAGCTTCAGGCGTTCAGACGTGGCGTGCGTTCAAATGTTGTACTATCTCATTCTTTGGAACTTATATCTACGCTGGCGCGGTCCGTCCCCTGGTAGACATATTTATAGAGATACCGCACAGAAGAGATTATCCCCCAAATTTCGAAGTTGATATGGCACTGACATTTGTGCAACAGAAATGGATTGTAGGAGGGGACAACCGTTTTTCCGACTTCGGCAAGCAATTGACACCTCCTGCGGAGCTGCTGATAGCCATCACATGATACTTCTGTATCACTCCGGAGTTCTTCGGGGAATTCCTTCGAGCATTTCCCGTCTTTCATACAGGGAGCGCGCGCGTTGTTTGGGCCGCAATTTCTATGGATCAGGAATTTCTTGACTGTTTCGTGTAGCAGCGGTTCTGTGAGTGGGTCGGGGGTTCCCGCAGTGCAGACAGCGTTCAGTTCATCCGGAGTCCGAGGTTTGTGGTTATCGGGCGATATATCATACAAGAGCAATCCACGGGATGCTCAGTTGGGCAGGATTAAGACCTGATTGTACATTCCGCATTCGGGCTTCATTGTCATGTACATAGGGATCTTATGAGTGGAAGCCATCGACATGCGCTGCGAAAAGGCATGAGCATGATGTGCGCCAGGAGCAGTACGCCCTCTGTACGCTCCTTGTACGCTCTTTGTACGCTACGATCGAGCCGAGTACGCTTATCAGTGTCCGATAGTACGCCTAGTACGTCAGTCGTTCGCCGAGTACGCCGACCATTTAATGTCAATCTAAGATTTGAGACGACTTGAGTAATCTTCACGAAGTTGGGTGACGCGACTCCCTTGAACGCAACTTCGAAGTTTCCGCCGCGTTTCGCAGCCGGCCGTATGGAATCAACTTCCAGAGAGCTTATATTCTCATCGCAGATGGATTCCGATACGGACCCGGGAATCATGGAGGTCCGAAAATCCGGGGTGACGATCGAAGCAGAGTGAGACGGAATACGGGGACTCCGGAAATTGAGGAGAACAGGCCGATTTGACCGAGGATTACTCGCCGTCAATCGACCTCGGTGGGCTGACCAGAACTCAGAAAGGCTCTTGACCGATAATTTGCACCGTGTGAATTTCGAGACACCATTAAGGAAGACATCCTACTGACTATTCAAGCGTACGTTATTTAGGACGAGAGCGCAAGCATTGAATAAGTTTTATTTAAAGAGATATGCAAGACTTCTCTCATCTCCGAGAGCTCCCGAGATCCTCAAGATTTGGTTGGGGCAGCCTTCGATGAGACGGAGACGGACTAATCAGGCTGCGCCGATGTTTCGACCTCTCGCGCTTCAGGGATTGTGGAGCTGTCATCCGCTTCAAGAGCAAATGGGTTATCTGACCCGGCCAGGTTCCTGACAACGCACGCGAGAAGGCTTGCTCGGCAGGAACCCTTGTCGGTAGAACTACAGTCAATATCGCCTTCAAAGAAGCAATGTCGTGATGAATGTCCGTCTCCTGACTTCCTGTACGTATCTCCTGGTCTGAAAGTAGACGAGCAGCCACCAAATGTGGACTTTCCGTTGGAGGAGGTGCATTCGACCGATTGCTTGAACATGGAAAAGATCCTGCGAGAGGCCCGGCGGATCGTCGCCGTGTAGAGAGCACCTTGGCTTCGAAAGTTTTAGCTCAGCTCTCGGACGCCTGCGGATTTTCGGCAGATTCAAGCTCACGGCACCTGGCCAATTCTTTGACGCCGTCTAATCGCTCTAGGGGAGCGACGGGACCGTCACTTAGTCTCACTAGGACATTGTCAGAGGCCGAAATCGGAGAAAGTTCTTCGAGGTACCTGCTCGTTCGAAATGTAAACCCTCGGCGTTCAAGGATCCGAGCACTGTCGAAGCGACCAAGGATTTTGCCATATGTTGAATCTTCCGCCTCCAGGGCTTCCAAGAGAGTGATCTCATAGGATCGCACCCCGATCTCATAGGATCCCACCGCGATCTCATAGGATCGCACCCCGATCTCACAGGATCGCACTCGTGATCTCACAGAATCGCACCCCGATCTCACAGAATCGCACCGCGATCTCACAGGATCGCACCGCGATCTCACAGGAGCACACAATGATCTCGCAGGAGCACACCGATATCTCACAGGATCCCACCGTGATCCTGATATATCACGGTGGGGGAAGATGATCAAAAACCAGAGGGAGGGACCGCCCGATCGTGCTCGTTTCAGCTCGGATCATCGGCATCATCGTTTCAACTATCTCAGCGACAGATTCCGTTTTAATGTGATTTCACCTCGCGTTTTTCTTGTTTGCAGCTCTCATAGACTGAGCACACGTACAAGCTTACCAAAGTACGCCGTTTAATGCGTGCAAGCGTACAAGCCGAATTCTATGTCTTGGGGCTACTGCGATCGGCATTCAAAACTTCGCGCCTCTTCTAGCGGGTCGGAGAGCGGCGGAGGCTCAGCTTGTCGCCCTCCTCCGCCGAATACGTCTGCTTACCCGCACCACACAATCGGGAAACCTATCCTCTCTGGCTCTCTGGCCGTGTCTCACATGTTATCTGACTGAGTGTTGTGCGGATGCGCTTTATCTGAAACTTCGGATGAAAGTCTGAGCGGGATTCCAAGCAGTCCGGAGCCGATATGGCGAGTGCGTTCGGAGCTCAACTAGCGCGTTCGGCGATCAGTGGGATTTCGATATTTGACGTGCTCGCTATCGACGATTTGACCATCGGATTCAGAACTGGCCTCAAATATCTGGCCGATTTCAGTGGCCAAACCTGGCCGCATCGATTGAAGTTCCTGTACGTGTATTCGGATGAGGTGGTGCTAGCTCTCGAATTATTCCTTCAATATCACCACCTGAAGAAATACAACGCATCATTCGCTGAGAAGTTCTACGGTGTTGCCAGAGATGGCAAAGTGAAGCTTCTGCGGTTAGTGAAGGTCCAGCCAAGAGGTTTCGACCGCTGTAATCTGAGACGACTTTCCTCAACGACCCATCCGAATTTTCCTTGATACGTCGAATGAAGTTTGGAGGGTCACCACAACAGTGCTTGATTTTTTTCCAGAACTCTGCTTCTGATCACAGCTCTCCCGTACCTGAGCTCGAAACTCGAAGCTACGTTCCGACGCTGGAAAGACGATGAGGCCGAGGGGACTCAAGCTCCAAATGACAAACTCCGAAGAATATTCCTACGCTTCTATCCATATTTTTATTTTGTCACTCGCGGCTCATATTTCCTGCTGACGCTTTTGTACACACTAGGACGAAGTGATTTCCACTGTATGGAACTGTTTCTCAGCGGAAGCCGACTCGAACAATTTGATAAGGGCAAACACTATCGTTTCTCGAGTCCGGTGGTCGGCTCGAATTTGCTTATTCGATATCTGTCATATACAAAGTATATATTGTCATCATCGGCCGACATTGGAATCAATGCATTGGTTCTCGGTGCGCACATACTGCAAATGATGGAATTTTGGTATCAGAACAATGATGTCAGTCCTTTCCAGAAAGGTTCGGTGGTCCCGCCTCCCCCCGATGAGCTGAGTAGCGCTGTGTGCCAATCGCAAGACCGACATCTTCCGAAAGGCAAATGCCCACTCTGCAAAGAGTCCGTCGTTAATGAGACGGTTTTGACAACGAGTGGGTTCGCGTTTTGCTACACCTGTATTGTCCGACACCTCATCGAACACAATACTTGCCCGGTTACTGGTTACCCTTCTACGGTCGATGCCCTGATCAAGGTGTATCAGTAGGCCGGCGATGAGTGATTCTCGATGTGGCGTTGGCTTCACCCCGAAGGGAATAAATTGATTTGCTCGTAACAAAAGACGACAGACAAATCAATGCGATTTTCCAAAGAGAAAGATGGACCTTTCTTCGGACCATTATTGCTCCGATAACAAGTTCGACGACGAAGATCCTCATCGAGCTCCCGTGGGACCTTGCCTTGAGTCGGGTGCAATCGAAATTGTGAATTTAAGTTATTTTCGAATCTCGGAAGAATGAGCGTTAGGTGGAGTGCGTGTAGGTTCCCGTAGAAGATCCTCATAGGAGTGAGTCATCGAAGCATTCCTTGGTTCTGACATGATCGCGGCTCTCGGAGCATGCGGATACTGTAGTGAAAGTGTAATAAAATCTCGTAATTACTGTAATATACCATCCCGAAATGAGCATCTGTGATTGTTCTCACTTCCCGCGCTCAAGATCCGTCGGGACCGAATCGGTCGCTTGGTGAAGTTCGGATTCCCGAGATGAGATATCAATAGCGACTTCCATCCCGCACCTTACCCGGATCCAGTACGGTTATCATCAGCGAAAGGAAGATGCCGCCCGCCAAGACGAGGGACCTCGCGGAATGAACGTGATTCATTCCATAACTTGCAGGTGGGGGGGGGAAGGATATAAGCTTAATTTTCGACATCGTATCGCGATGGCTCATGGGCGATAGAATCATGTCGGAACACAGATGCCAGACGATAACACTGGGAAACTCGAGTCGATCGAGAGATTCCGAGAACAAAAGCTGATCAACTCGTCGTGAGCCGAGGATCGGGAGGAAATAACCTTTCAAGATTTCTCTCGGATGTTAGCTTCTCTACACCCACGCGACGATGCACTTTGGGTAATCGACGAATCGTCAAGACATCGCGAGTCTTCTCCGTCTAATGGATAGGGAGCTGTGACCTATGACTATCGAGTCTCATCATTGTCAGATTCACGTGTATGTTCGGGGCTCGATGGGATGTCCAGAAGACAAGATCCCGGTACAGGCAAATCCCGTTGGAGATTTCTCATTCCGATGTTTATTTTCCGCTCGCACGTCATAGGTCCGATCTCGGACGCGCGAGAGACAATTTCCGTGCTCTAATGACCCGTTTACGACGCCATCTGCGTTCGTTCATGAGGGACGTGTCACAATAATCGGTCGTGAGGGCAGCATAGATCGAATTTGGCGCTTGCTGAGCTGGCGCGTCGTCTGCTCAACAGACGAATTATCGTATGTTGCTTTCACGGTAACACACTCCTGTAGCAGTCTGTCAGAGGTTACGTGGCATGTGCCGATTTTTGACCAGCTTACCGTTCCAGAATTGAAGGAACCGGCAAGGAAGTTCTCCCGAGAGTTCCACTAAGAAGCGGTAAGATTTGGGTGAAAGCTGAAACCTTGAGAAATGGATTTTTCGAACGAGCCGTCACTTCGGACTGCTACCATATGATCGCAGCACAATCTGAACTTGCCGCGTTTCCCCACAAGTGAAGCTCTTTCTCCAAGTCCCCGTTCTCTGAAGTCCCTCCGCTCCCCGAGTTAGCAAGCCTTGACGTTGACTAGCTCTCTCGACCGGCTCTTTGCTCGAATTCCACCTTATCGTGAGAATCAAACGAGCCGAGACTTCGTACCTGATCGTGACGTGGGTTGGACATCAGGGAGCTCTCTCCGATTCCCGTCACGGGAATGTCTCATAGGCGGACCGCGGTAGACGTCCCAAGTTTCGGCCGTTACCGGTAGCAGGAGGAAGCGCGAGTATCTGTGGAGAGTATTCTGAAATACGGGCTTAACAAGCCAATGATGCAAGTCATTTTAGAATAGGCAGTTCTGTTCGATTCCTCACGGTTGCTCTCCCGCAGCGAGACTTTCCTTCGATTCAGAAATTTCCCCTTTGTCCGGGAGCTTCGTCGGCATGGAAAAGTTTCCGTCCGATCCAATAGACTTGATCGAGACAGCTCGTGCCGAAAACCAGAACAGATAAACGGTGTTATTTATCTGGTCCAGAGGGGAAACTTCCGCATGCAGTGTGATGCTCGCTCGAGGAAGTTATACGTATCACCTTCCCTAGAATTGAAGAGCTTGTCCATATCCGCTTCTGCAGCTAGAATGAGCGATGATTTTTCTCCGCAATCTTCGCCGGATGAGTGACGGCAGAGGCTGCTCTGGAATCCATCCTAATTCCGTTCCGGGCTCATTACCTGACCCTACAACTCATGTAAACTCAATATTTCATGTTTCCTCAGATCCAACATGCAGCCGCCTCCTCAGTCGGGGTACGGCCAATTCGCACCGAATGGACCAATGCAGCCGAGGAAAACATTCCCTCCGGGCTATGCAGGAGACAATATATCATCTCAGATGGAGAATCTACAGGTAATTCCGACCTGACTCGAGCTTCCCGTCGGTGGTATTAGATGTGCCGGTGCTACGGAGTGCTTTGTCGCAATTAGAACGGAACTGACCGTCGCTCAAATTCACAGATAGGCGGTCAGGGCTATTACCCTCCGGCGTCTGGGTATGGTCAGCAACCCAACGGACAACAGTATTCAAATGGACATAATGGAGTTCAACAAGCCGGCATGCATCCACCGGGCTCGCCTCAGATGAGACCCCAACAGGGGCCTCCACAAGTCGGCCCTCCTCCGCTCAATTCGCCTCCGATGGCTACACCTGGAGGCAAACCTCCCGGTCCTTCGCCGTACGGTGCCCCATCGGGAGCTCCTTCTCATGTCGCCGGACCACCTTCAGGCCCATCGATGGGCCCACCTCAAATGGGAAGTCAGGCATCTGGTCCGCCGCAATCTGGAGGGCCTCCGCAAGGACCTCAGCAATCCGGCAGACCTGCGCAGGGTAATCCGCCTTACGGCGGACCGCAGCCCGGAGCTCAACATTCCAGTGGCCCCCAGCAAGGTACTCCGCGACCCGGTGGGATACAGCAGGGACCTCAACAGACTGGTGCACCGCCACAGGGACCCCCAGCACAATCGGGTGGATTCCAAGCGGGACCTCCTCAGCCCGGTGGATTTCACCAGGGACCTCCGCAATCAGGTGGATTCCAACCGGGACCTCCGCAGCCGGGTGGATATCAGCAGGGGCCTCCGCAACCAGGCGGATACCAGCACGGATCCCCACAACCTGGAGGATTCCAGCACGGACCCCGCCTTCGGGAGGGCTACAGCAAGGGCCCCCGCGATCGGGCGAGCAACAGCGAGGGCTGCCGCCATCTGGCGGGCACCTGCAGGCTCACCCTCCGCTGGTTGGGACTCCATCCGGGCCTCCGCCTCTTGGTGTATCTCCTGTGGGCCCGCCAACAATCGGTTCGCCCGCCGCAGGGCCTCCTCAAGGCTTCGGAGGGCCACCCCCGCCTCCAGCGACTCCGGGATCTCATGGTCCCTCTCACCCTGGTTCCAGACTGCCTGGAGCTCCTCCGGGAAGCAGCGGATTCCCTCCAATGGGTCAACAGCAGGTCAGGGGACCCCCACAGATGGGTGGTCCGCCTGCTGGCGCCCCACCAATGAGCGCACCCGGCCAGGGGCCCCCCTCTCAAGGACATCCTCCCAGTCAGATGCCCTACGGGCTGAACAGCAACAACGCAGGCCCTGGTCCGCAGCGGCCGTCCGGATTCCCACCAACAGGAAGTTCTCAGAATACCATGATGCCTCCCCCGGTCGGCGGGCCGCCGACTGGTGCTCAGAACGGTTTGTACAGCGGTCCGACGTCAGCCTTCCAACCCCCTCCCCAAACTCACGGACAACCCCCCGCGGGACCCCCTCAAGGCTACAATATGGGATCACCGATGTCCCCTCCAGGACAGTATAATCCGCAAGCTATCGGTCAGGGTTACGCTGCCTCGCCTCCAAACATGTACAATCAGCAAAACGGTCAATATCCCCCGTCGCAACATCCGCAACATCTGCAATCGACTGGAGGTTATCCCCAGCAGCCAGCCGCCCCGCAACGAAAATTAGATCCCGATCAAATGCCTAGCCCAATTCAGGTGAAATATATTCCATTGTTTCTGCTGTCGCAATTGCCTCGCATCCATCTTCGACGAAAAGCAAGCGATTTCTAAAGCGCACCTCCATCCGGCAGGTGATCGAAGACGATCGGAAGAATGCCGGACCTGTTTTCGGAACCAATCGCCTAGGAACGCTTCCGCCATTGGTGACAACCGATGTAGAAATACAGGATGAGGGGAACGCAGGACCCAATTATATAAGATCGACCGTTTATTCTGTGCCGTGCAGTCCAGATGTGATCAAACAGACGCAAGTTCCCCTTGCGGTAGCTATAACGCCTTTCGCCAGACACGCTAAAAGCGATGTGAGTCAACGGGGATTTTTTTCCCGCATTTCCTCGCCTCGACGAGTAAAATAGGTGATGGGTTCAGATTAGAGCTGTCGATAACTCTCTCTCTGTTCTTGCAGGGCGTCCTGCCGTTGTCAGTGTTCAACGAAGAGATTGTTCGCTGCAATCGTTGCAAGGCGTACATGTGCCCCTTCATGCAATTCTTGGACGGGGGCAGACGGTTTCAGTGTGTTTTCTGCAAGGCGACTACCGAGGTTCCACAGAGCTACTTCAATCACCTAGACCACAACGGGGCCCGCGTCGACAAATGGCAACGCGCGGAGCTCTGTCTCGGCTCGTATGAGATCCTAGCGACACAGGAATACTGTAAGAACAACGTCCTCCCGAAAGCTGCCCCGGCTTTCATCTTCATCGTGGACGTAAGCTACAACGCCATCAAAAACGGCATGGTGCAATTGTTCTGTCAGAACATCAGGGACATTCTTGAAGATCTACCGACCGAAGACGATGAGCCGAACGAGACCCCAGCGATTCGAGTCGGTTTCATCACTTATTCCTCGCAAGTTCATTTTTACAACATAGACCCCAATCTGTCGAGCCCCCGAATGATGGTCGTGCCGGACGTGTCCGATATGTTCGTTCCCCTCTTGGAAGGTTGTCTCGTAAAACCTTCGGAGGCGTCGCGCGCTATCGAGAGCCTCTGCGAGGAAATCCCGAAGATGTTCGGCGACACCCGCGAAACCGAAACCATTCTCGGGCCGGCGATCGAGGCCGGAATGGAAGCCCTCAAGGCGGCCGAGTGCCCCGGGAAACTGTTTGTGCTTCATACGACAATGCCCACGCTGGAAGCTCCGGGCAAGCTGAAGAACCGGGACGACCGAAAGCTCTTGGGGACAGAGAAAGAGAAGACGGTTCTAGCGCCAGCGTGTCCTTACTACCAGGAGCTGGCGACCCAATGCGTACAAGCCGGATGTTCGGTTGACCTTTTCATCGCGAACAATTCATTCGTCGACGTCGCGTCGATCGGCCAAGTAGCTAAAATTTCCGGAGGCGAGGTTTTCAAATACACGTATTTCCAGGTGGGTTCTGCAAAGGATATGTAGATCCGAAATCTGTTTATGGAAACGTCATCTCGACGGTCCGCCACGTTGTTCATGATTGCTAATTCCTCTCTTATCCTGAAAAATATTTTCAGGCCGATACGGACGGGGAACGATTCATTGCGGATCTTCGCCGGGACGTCGCCAGACCAGTGGCGTTCGATGCGGTCTTGCGCGTGAGAACTTCCACTGGTTTGCGACCCACTGACTTCTACGGCAACTTCTACATGCAGAACACGACGGATGTCGAACTGGCCAGCATCGATTGCGACAAATGCATCACCGTCGAGATGAAGTACGACGATAAGCTGCCGGAGGGAGAATGCGCCTTCATCCAGGCTGCACTTCTCTATACTTCGGTGAAAGGAATTCGAAAACTTCGCTTGCACAACCTTTGTCTGCAAACAACGAGTCAGATGGCCGACATGTTCCGAAACTGTGAATTAGATACAATTCTCAATCTATTCTGCAAACAAGGACTCAGGTGAGACTCCTGATTAGTGCGTGTGCATGTGGGATGGGGTCGCAGACCCGGCATGGGGAACTCTGATATTTCCTCTCATGGTGGCCGGCTGCTTCCGGCAGAGATTCGACTCACGCGCCCCCATCCTGTTGCAGGCAACTTATGGATGGAAACCCCAAGTCACTGCGCGAAGGCCTAACGCTTCGGGCCTCCACCATATTGGCCAACTACCGAAAACACTGCGCTACAGCATCGTCTTCCGGACAACTCATCCTACCAGAGTGCATGAAATTGATGCCTTTGTATGTCTGCTGTATGATGGTGAGTAGCATACCGCTGCCAAGATTCGTTCCGAATCGTTTTCGATCAGTTCCATTCACTGACCGTCCACACCGGGAATCCATGCTCTTTTAGAAATCCGATGCTCTTGCCGGCGGACCAGAGCTCACAATCGACGATCGTGCGTACGCTATGCTCTGCTTAGGGAGCATGGACGTCAAAAGCTCCCAGGTAGGTCTCCGATCGAGATTCCCTCTATTATCCCTGTAGTACGCCGGCTGTACAGGAAGACGGGGGGAACGCCGTCTCACGAACAGAGAATGAATCATTCTTCCTTCACAGATATATCTTTACCCACGTCTCTTGGCTGTGACTGATCTGGACCCGTCTGATAACTCGATTCCGACTGCGACGAGAACGACGGTCGAGAAAATCCGAGAAAATGAAGCTTATATCCTCGAGAATGGCGTCATGATGTTCCTCTACATCGGTCTTCAGGTAAATAATCGAAACTCTTATCTACGTAAGCGTTATCAGCAAATTCATCCCGCCATCTAGATTTGAAGCGTCACGGTCTCTGAAGCAGGACTCTATAATTCTCAGGTCGATCCCATTTGGTGTGAATCTATATTCGGTGTCAGGAACGTGACGCAGATTCAAGTCGAGCGAACATTGCCGCTTCTCAATAATCCGCGGTCGAAACACCTCCACGAGCTCATCGCCTCCATCAGAAACGAACGCCAGAGATTCATGAAGGTCAGTCCGGGGATCCCAGCAAGAACGATGCGGTGCCCAGTCGCGGCCGATTAAATTGGGTTAGGCGACGGCAAGAGCTTCGCTGGACCCTGGATAGATACGCAGTGTTCCCGTCCAAAGGTCTCTTCGGCGGCGCCTACTGACAAGACTTCAATTCTATTACAGCTGTATATCGTCCGGCAAGGTGATAAATGGGAGAGAGTGCTGCGTCAATTCCTGATCGAGGATCGTATGTCCGATACGCAGCCTTCATACGTCGACTACCTCTGTCAACTGCACAGAGAAATTCGGGGTCTGATTTGAGAAGTTTCGCATGCGGTGACTTCCCGATCTGGAGGCGATACTTCACCATTCATGTACAATTCAGTTAGAAACAGTTTTCGAGGTCAGATCGACGAAAACGCGTGGACATCGAAAACGGATGAGAGTCATTGATATTGAGTCGTTTTCCACCTCGAAGGGTCTGAACTCTGAAATCCCGGTATCGAAGTGACCTAGGACACGAGACGAGCGGCGCAAAATCGTTTCGAAAAAAAATAAATATGAATGAATATTTTCCTCTTTATGAACGACGCGTGCGATCCCTCCTCCGCATCGGGAACCTTTGCAGTTGTTCCATCGATCAACCTCCAATGGCTTCAAACGTCGAAGTGAGCTAACTCTCCCAAAGGAGAACCGAGAGGGAAATGAAACATTGAGCTAATATCAGAATCCTTTTACCGTAATTATGAAACAATCAAGTGGTCCATGGGATGTGAATTGTCTTTTTTATTGAAACACCTTGTTGCGTGTTTACGGCCGCCGCGAAACACATGGAATAAATGTCTTTAATAACAATTTATCACCGACTAACTTCCTGCACACATCCGATTGTCGTATAACACTCGCGTCACGCTTGTGCGAACGAGATTAAGGTTGTCCGTGGGGTTTGGCGAGCGAACGGCGTCACTCCACGGATTCATCCGACGGGACTCAGTGTCCGAGCTGATTTCTCCCATTACTTCCTCGGTTAACCGAAGAGCGGCTTCATAGAGTTCACGATTCGCCCGAGTAGCTTCGCGAAGAAACTCTGCTCCCTCCTAAAATTGCTGGAGCAACGATCTGGGGCGTCTTGGGCGGTAGTGTCGATGTAGAGGATCTCCTCCATATCTTCGGTCGCGCTCGCCCTCAACGACTCCAGATACTCGCAAATATTACGAGCTTCACCCTGCGGAAATGATACGGTCAAGGGTCAAGAACGATAATGCTTGAAAGAAGGCTTGCGGATATTCGAGTCAATGGATCCGATATCCGTACCGTGCAATTAGAATTCGTAGCGTCCGTCACGTCATTGCAGGAGAACCCAACGTATCGACAGTCACGGGCGCAGTTTAAGACGAGGTCTATGTAGTACAACTGGGCTTTCGAGTGACTGCAGCTCAGGCTCAAAGCTGGAACGATTGAAGTACCGACTCAAACGCAACTCCTTTCGATGATCCAACCATGCACGCTTGAGACATCGGATCAATCGCAGGATCGGGTATAACGATCGCGGGAGAATCACTCACGTGGCGGCGGGCATCCCGGCTGGGGTACGACTCCACCGTTGGGATACAAATCGACATGGCCGAAGTTATCCTGCAGACCCAGGCTGCCCCTTACAGGATCGTTGCCCGAGGAAGTATGGATCACCTCCAGAAAATCGCAGTGAGCTTTGTCCGGCCAAACGTTGTTCCCCTCAAAGCGTGGTGCAGCCACGTCCAAACCTTGAAGCCAACAAAAGTGTCAGGGCCCATAGAAGAGCGATGCGGAGTAAACGCCTGGTGGTCGTATGGGAGCTCCATCCTCGCCTCCACTCCAATCACATCGTACCCGTTGTCCGGCCAACCTTCGCCTGGTGTCGTGTGAATAGCCAATCCATTATTTTTCCAGCTGCCTGGCCCCCGAGTGAATGGCCGATCAGGTGTATCCTACGAAACTGCGGAGAAAAGCGAAAGACATTGGGAAAATAATCCGTCTCCGGGTGACAGTGGTTTCGGGAATCGCATTCCGATCTCTACGCAGCACAGGATCTGTTCCGAATGCTCTACAGTAAGGTTCAAGCTCACATCGAGACGGTATTTGGACGAGAGACGATGGATGAATTCCGCCGTTATCCGTCCGAGCATGTTAACGTTCTGAGCCGCTTGAGCGTAATTGGGACCCTCAGCACCCGACTTCCAGTCGACGGTGATGACATTCGTCTGAAGAAGAGACGTCCTCGATCATGATGCTTCTAGTTCGCCTACTTTCGGGCGATGCCGACCTTGCGGTCACCTTTGAAATCTTTCCCATCTCACCTCTCTGAAATTCCGACGAAGCATCAAGGCATCAGTCAGGTTCTGCACCCAACGGGCATCCGCATCTGCCGCGAAACCGTGGAGGATGAATGCAACGGATGAGCGGGATCTCAGTAAAGTATCAGCTTCGTTGTCGAAGGATTCGTTGTAGAACCATATACGATACGGAACCGACGAGTTCCCCTACAATCGAAAGGGCGGATTCAGCTTGTTCTCGGAAATACCCACTTCGTTCCATTCATACGGTCATCACTTGCGATCCATGGATAAGAAGATGATCAGTCGGAGAAGGCCTCCTGCATTCACAAGTTGGACCTTTACATTTAGGTAGAGCGCGTAGCTTGCGTTGATCTGTTCGGGCAACTCAGGTTGAACCAGGAGGGAGGATTCGAAGCATCCTACATCGAGAGGCTTGCCGGAATTCAGCTGGAGCTCCGGGCAGAAGCTGTCGATACCAGCGGATCTGTGATGAATTTATGATCTGAATATCTCTTCGAATCCTTGCTCTCGCACCGCCAGGACTGATGCATTCCATCCGATAGACATCTACTCGGCCGGCAGAAATCATGATCAGAGAATAAGAGTCGTGGACTTTTGAGCATCTTCGAAGAACTGCATCGGTACGTACACTGGTTCGATAGAGAAGCATATCATCAAGGGAGCGACGAGCCCGACGGAGAGTGTCATATGACCGCTCGGCAACATAGCGGCGAAAAAAGTCATCTGGCCGCCCGGCAAGATGGTGGGGAGTTGGGGAGCCGGTTTCTAGGAGACTACGAGTACAAGGAAAAGTGTTATGCTAAGAAAGCTATTATTCCGTAAGCTTGGCGAATAAGCGAGCGAGCATGGCGCCCCCAGCGGCTCGGCGGGGATGTGCGATTTTCGATGCGCGGAGGGATCGGGATCGCTCATCGCCTATGTAGCTCCAGGATTAACCTTTATTCCGAGTAGCGTCTAGGGAGGTACTTTGATTAGACTGCTGAAAAATCGGAGGAGCGGCTCGACAATACGAATACTGTCGGAGAATTGATTTCGCGTTCTATTCAGCGGAAGGCCAGCGGCGGGGAGTCAAGATGACGACTGCGATCGTGTTTCAATCGATTAGAAATGTTGACAGAACTTTCGCGGGAACTGGCCCGTGGTCGCCGTCCCGGAATAATTTTCAGCCAATTATGAACCCGGACTCACCGTCTAGGGTACAGGAGGCATGTGGAGTCCAGGGGTGTCGCTGTCACATGGAACTTATGAGCCTATCGATTTTTCGTCGATTCACCAGGGACTGACCGGAAGATTCTATTTATATCCGTCGTGTTTCCTTCCTCTCTAGACAGGACATGATGAAATGAGGGAACGTAGGTGACCGAACCCACGTCCGCTGGAGCAGAGTGATCTGCGGATTGATTGTATCTTCGCTACAACATGTTCCTCCAAAAGCTTTCAAAATTGGATACGACCGATTTTCGATTCATCAAGATCCGACCAGCTGCGCAGACTCGCGCTACAGAGAGATTGTTCTCCCATTGCTGTCGTCAGTATTTCGACATCTAGCGGAGCGACGTCTCGAGGTATTTCCGGTAGGTAGTCTATTTTCGCTCGAATCGTCATTGTCAATAGGTTAGCTTGGAATCATGGGTATAGACTTCGCTGTCGCTGGACTCGGGAGAGCCTCCGTTTTCGCAGATGAATGAAACCAATGATAGAGTGACGCCGGCCCATGAAGTGTGAACCGGATTGAGACCATTGTGTTTCATTTATTTTTTCTCGCTCATATCGCACAGTGTTATACCACGAGCTCCCTATCACGAAAAATTCTCCAGAGAGGCTAGTCGAGCCTCTCGGCTCGACCATCGGCGGTTGGTTACGAGTCTGGAAAGATAGGAGATTTCTTGACGCCTAAATTCCTGTCCAAATCTCACCACGGCTTGCTGAATGGTGATCCACATGTTTCGATTCCCTGAAAGGGATTGCACACTGCAAGAGGAAAGTGGGGGAATGTCCATCGTACGCCTTAGGGATTAAGAGCTACAGGGGACTGGTCAGCGGCTCGACGATCGATTTGAATTGCACGCCTACCCCGCTAGTCTCATGCCCAAGTCAAGCCCGCGGACTTCCTTCATACCGTGTGATGTAGTCCCGGAGGTCTCTGTCGAAGCCTCTGATTCAGCTCTTCCGCATCGACATACTTCCCTCCGATCTTGACCGAGATTTTCAAATCGGTGAGTTCTTCTTCCGGTATCGCTTTCTCGATCCGACGGTAGAAGTCGAAAACGAAATTTCGCCAGCTCTGGTGAATCTTCCCCATTTCCTTGACTTGTTCGACCTCCCGTTCAACTTTTTCGAAAATCTCGGACATTTCGGCGCATTCTCGGTCGAAGTCTCGAGAGTAGGGTCTTCCGCTCGCCTCATGCGATCTCTGATGCTCCTCGAGTGCCTCCGCAGTGCCTGAGTAAATTCCGCAATGCGGGCACGTGTCTTTCGGGAACGGCCGGCCTATTATCTGATCCTTCTGTCGGGCGAAGACCTCAAGTTCTTCAACTCTCCCAAAAGCCTGGAACGGAGCGATGACAGCGGTTTTGAATGGAGCGTCACGAACGGTCCTATCCGAGCCTACGAAATACTCACCCAAAAAGGCGTAGCCGGATTATTCTCCGGAGGGTGGTTCGGTTTAGAGTCCATGCTTCCGTCGAGAGTTGAGTCGGATTTACGTATATTCGAATGTTGTGGTTCCACGGAGCGAGTTCCGCACACGGAGAGTGCATAAGCATGAAACCTGATTCGCAGTTCTGAGACGGAATGTCGCGAGGAACGTCACTCGTGCGACGTGCACCAGTCTACACAGTGGGAATCTTTGAGGCTAGAGGCGTCCATGAGGAAAAATTAAATGGGAAAATTTAGGAGCATGGAGGAAAAGGAGGAGGGAGGGAAAGGAGGACGGAGGAGACAAAGGGACCCCCGCCACATATATTTCGCGGAAATATAGCTGGCTGTCTTCGGGAAAAAACGGCATAACCGAGATGAGCCAATGGACTTGCCTAGTCGAGCGTTTTCCGGTTCGGGCGCTCGATGTGCATTGCTGCGACAGAAATCAATGATGGACTTCTATTCCGGGCTCATCCAGCCGCCATTATGAACAATGATTTCCCCGTTTCCCCACCAAACCACCGTATTCATCGGAATCGAGGGAATATTGGACCACGGTATCTGATAGGAGGACGTCGTGTCGTCCACCGCATCATCGGAAACGTCACAAACAAAGAGTGGATTCGTATAATTCTTTCGGCGCTTCAGGACGACCCGATATCAGCGTGTGCCCGGGGGAAGCGCCCGTCATTATTCGGGATTCTAAGTTCTCCCACTGGGCGTTCGAACTCAAAAATACAAAAATTTCTTGGTAATTTGATGCATCACGGGATATCAGCTCGAACTGCTCCACAGGGTGGGACAGGAATGCGCTGCGGAGGGCAGTGGAATCTCGCTTCCGTGACTCCTCGAAACGGCTGAAATTCCATCCAGCAGGACCATCTACTCCACGGTTCTGAATTCTCGTCTTCTGTGGAAATTCATGAGAAGTTTGAGCCGATAGCGGCTCCTGCGAGAGGCGGCGAAAATGTCGCGACCCATCCGGTCGATCAGGGCCAGTCTTTGAATCAACAGCTGGGAGGGTCTTGTGTCAAGAAAGAAATCTATTGGAAATCATTCTCCATTCGAGATGTCCAGAACTCGGAGCGACTTCCTCGCTCCCTCGAGGAGCCTCGCCGTCTCAGCCCGATCGTGGAGCCATTCGGTTCTTGAGGGGAGGCCTCGAGCCGATCGACGGATGTTCCTTCGGAATTCCTACGGGAGTCCTGAAAGTACCCCGGGACAGCCATCGCTCCTACTCGGAATCGTTCTTCGGATCACGTATTGAGCGCTGGCTGCTAAGGAATCGCGGTTGCCAGGTCTGCAGCGGGGGATCAGAACGTCGAATCGGAATTCTCTGCATGCAAATTGAGCCTGTTATGGAACCGGACGCGGCCAGGACAGCGTGGGTCTTGTCGTCGCTGAGATTCCGATGGCCATGGATTCGAGATCACGGCTCCTATGAGCCGCGCTCCTAGGTGGATGAGAGTAGAGAGAAGAAGCAGTAATTTCGGACCCACGGCAAAGCCGTACCCGGAGGGAGGTTTTCCTAGAAATCGTGGTCGTGGCGAGGCCGTATGTCATGCGTGGTATCAGGGTCTAGCGGGGAGAGCCGTTCAAAGCAGGCGATCGAAAAGGCGGCCGTCAAGCATACGCGGCATCAGTGAATTTCAAGGATCAATCGGAGAACGGGCGTGCATGTATGGTATGAATGAATGGAAAAGGAAAGGATTGGCACGGAAAACGTTCAGAGGCACGGATTGCAGTGTTTCCGGAAAAAAAACTTTCGCTAGATCAACCCTCCTTGCTTGACCATCATTCGTTTCTCCCGTGCTTGAACTAGGCGTTGTGACACTGGAAGGCGCGGGAATTATTCACGGCCAATTCATCGGCTTTCTGCACCGCCCGCAGCCCCAGTGACCTTGCGATGCCGCGCCGCCATCTGCGGAAGTTCCGCTGACGCCTCGTCATCTCGCGACCAAGTGGCGCGAATCACGTAGTAAACCTTCCGGAAGTCGCCGCGGGGGACTTGATCCGCCGTTGAAGACGGATAGTCGTTGGTTTACATATAGACATATTGGTATGTCGAATTGCATATTGTATTAGCGGTAATCATTCAATGAAATCGAATGAGGCTTTCATTGGTGTGACGGCAAATCCATGAGCGAGTGAGGTTCCTTCTTTGATGTCTGGGAGTGGACCTCCACGCGCGGCGCATCCGTTGACAAAGTGACAACTCAGAGCACAGGCCGCGAAACCATTCGAACCTGACACTTCAACGACCTCAGCCCTCGTAGATGGACAATCCCATTCAGATTTTCTTTTAGGTATCACCAGTATTGCACCGAGACAGTTTCAGTGATTGACGAGCAAGATGCGTTCAGATGGAGCATCGGCCCGCTCCTTAGAGTGGGAGTCGCATTTTGCAGGCATCGCTAGCTGCATTTGCTGAATTTCGCACTGATAATAAATTTTCTCTGTCAATTAGAAAAGTCCGATTCCGACTCCGAAGTCATTCCCGGGGCGATCATTCTCACCACCGAACACACACTCGATCCTTTGCATTGTTCAAGGATCCAGGACTCCTTCTCGACTGTCATGCCGAGCGGCGGTCAACGATCCTTAGCTGGATTGAGCTACGATCTTAGAAAAATTGGCATCCGGTTGTTCGTATCGAGACTCTTCGTCGGCATGTTTGAGTCATTTCATCAGGCCAGAATGGTAGAGACTTTCCTATTCGAGTTCGAGCTTCTTTGACAAAGGTGACATTCACGCAGCCCTCTCCTCGTCCGTTTTCTGCAAGGCATCCCTATAACAAACAACGTTGATTTTCACGGGATATCGCGGGTTTCTCCGTGGTCGTTTATTCATAAGATATTCAACGAGATGCTAGATGACATTCTCCCACGGCGTGCATCCCAATGTTCTGGAACGAAACTTCACTCCGACTCGGTCTGGAAATGGCAGATACGAATGAGCGCTTTCGGAAAAGGAATTCATGAAAATCCCCGAGAAGTCGAGGATTCACAACAGGGGTGTCGAATCCGTGGCCCGCAAGGTCCCTTTGGCCCGCCACTATTTCCCCACCTACTCGAAGCCGACCATTTCGAATGAGTGCTTGGAAATGAATCCCTTCGTGAGACCGAACAGACGAACCAGTCGTGACCAGTCATAGAAATCGGTCATTGGGACAATCGCGGATCGCGACCCACCAAAACTACACGTTTGTCGTTTCTCGTGAAGAATAGGGAGACTTGTGATACCGTACCGTATTTTGCGATCCCCCGCATCGATTCTTGTAGGCTTCCGATGTCGTGTCGATGTAGACGATCTGATTCCTCGGCTCGGCACCTCTCCTTGAGTAGGCCTCCGCCCGTTCGCACAGGTCCACAATTTGTTTCTGTAATGGGTGATTTTCCGTGGCTCTCAAAGGATAGAGTCTACTCGATAAATTCGATGCGTGACCGTCCACTGTGTTCGAGGTCTGAGACTTCATTCGGTCGCCTACCTCACAATCGGCGTCCTCCGCGCAGGCAACGCTCCTGCAGGCCTGTCCCTCGAAGTTACAGCCCTGGGCACAACTTCTTACGAGTTCCTCGAAGAAGCTCTTTGCGAGACCGTGACTGCATCCCATGTCCAAGGCTGAAAGCGATCGACTATCTGTAGATGCCACGGAACGTAATGAGAGTGCTCCGTATCAACATCGGAACCCGAGATCTCTTACGAATCTGATATTTGATTGAACCAACCCCCAATGAGACATCCAGGTTGCGGGGCTTTGCCTCCGTTCGGGTACACGTCGATGTGAGCGAAGTTCACGGTGAGTCCGTAGTCTCCAGTCACCGGGGAAGGTCCCGACGATGTATGGATTCCTTCGAGGAATTTGGAGTCGTTCATGCTCGGCCAAATCCTCCGTTCTTCGAAAAGGGGCGCCGCGACGTCCAGACCTGTCACCAAAGACCGGTCACCAATTTGTCCGAGACGGTCCTTTTGTCTCGTCTGGATAGGGTGAAGGATTCATTGATTCTTCGACTCACCGGTAGCGCGACCAACTCTGACGCCGTACTTCGAGTTCCACCATTGTGTTATCATTCCGACGGTCTGTCCTCCGAGGGAGTGTCCCACCAGATGGAAGTTGTCAGTCTGTAAAGCAGAGCACGGCTCGGTCGGCAAAAACTCCAACGTTCACCCCGACGTTTTTCGTGCTGAAAGAACTGAATACGACTTGCGTTGAGATTGAAGCGTTTCGTGAGTCGGTTCAGGAGCTCCGCGGTGATTCTTCCGAGCATGACGACGTTGCTCGCAGCTCTTGCGTAATTGGGTCCTTCTGCTCCCTCGCTCCAGTCGACGATGATGACAGCTCTCTTCAGAAAAAAGGAAAATATCTCAAAGAAAAGATAGATGGAGATAGGCGTTGGAACCGCGCTTCCGGAACCAACTCCAGCGCTCTAATGTGATAGGGGAAGCGGACCCATTTTGGGCCATGTGCCTGTCATGGACCTAGGGCGCCTGAGGTCTTAACATCGTGGTCCATTACTCGTCATAGGGGGTGGCCCCGTGGACTTCTATGGGGGCAGGGGGCGCATAACTGACCCTCTCAAAATCAGGTAGCTCCCCATTTTTCCCCCCTTAAAAGGTCCAGAACCGGTACGCTCTCCCTACCTCCGTTCGCATTTCGAAAGAAAACTCGGTCCATACCTTCTCCGGCTCGCTCTGGTTGAGCAAAGCGTCTTTCATGTCCTGCATCCAACCCTCATCTTCATTAGCATCACGGAACCCGTGAACGACGAGAGCTACGTGCGAATCCGAGGAGAGGACGTCGTCTGCCTCATGATCGAGGGGTTCGTCGTATTTCCATTGTCGCACACAGCGTGAGGGATCGTCCTGGTTATTATAAAGACGTTGCTCAGCATAAAGCCTTTTTGGGGCCGGTAGACTACATCAGTGTCTGGCGCTCCCACCACAAGGACCGAAATCGCTATACTTACACCTTTGTACAGCGAGTATGTGGGATTGATTTTCTTGGGCTCGAAGGGGAGGAATCCGAGCACTGAATCGAAACAGCCTAAGTCGACCTTTTCCCCATTGTACAGCTTGATTTTTGGACACCAGTCATCACTGAAGATGGTCTGCAGTGATTCCTGAGCATCGACGCTAGGGGAAAGTAATGAAGGGAATAATGAACACCGGTGCACTCGCTCGTTGAATTCCCCGGCCGCGAGCTACGGCAATGCGGGGTTCACATTTCACTGCGTGGATTATACGTACGCTGAATAGGCGCAGACACACCAGAGAACAAAGATTAAGGGAGTTGGAGAAGCTCCCATGTTTTCTCGATGGGGACTCGTCGCAGACCTTATTTCGTCCACGAAGACTCTATCGTCTCTCCTTTGTCGGTATATATATATGTATCGCAATCTGACAGGTGTCTTTGATCTGACTCAGTTTTTTGGCTTTAGAAGGTGTTGTTTCGACAGCGGATGTCTCAGAGGTGTCAAGTGCGGAGGAACTCTTTTGGCGACAGCTTGCAATCAGGCGGAGAACGCGAAATCCTGCGGCGCCTGACAGCCCGGAGACAAACCAATTCGAATATACTTCCCAGTTCTGCAGCGCTTACGAGGGCCGAGGGTGTGCTGATGCTGGAGCAAGAAACATGTAGGAGAATGGAGATCGGGGACAATAGGGGACTGCACTTGCAGACCAACTCTCCGGGCTCCATTCCGGGATGACCAGGGAGTTTTTCCGCTATTACTATGACTACATGAACAGGCATCTTGTTACGCGGTTTGCGATGCACGGCTTTCACCACAAAACTTGCTCCCGCGGAGGCTTCCATGACCCCTCGGACGAATGCATCTGTTCCTTATGCGGGGAGATAGGCGGAACGTATCATCTTCGGCATTGCGCGAAGAAAGTGTCGCTCTCCATGTTGATGTAAATCTCGTATATTTATATTAGGTATATAAACTGGTCAACAGTTAATAAATGGTTGTTGTTGTTTTTCCGCTATTACCCGCCTGTGCCGCAGACGTATGTTGATCTTCGACGAGTCATCGTCCCAGAATCGGAGTCGGCGACGGATCGAACGCACTCCATCGTCCGACCCAAAGACTGGTGAAGCTGTCCAGCATTTATGGTCGATATTCCTGGTCAGACGGAGTACATAATCGTCATCACCAGGAAACCGTCGCGTACGCGATCGTGAGGCGACCTCTTAATCGATCATCGTAGGCACCCAGCCCTCAAATCTTCCAATCCCCAGCCCCAAGAGAAAAATCTGTGCTCGGGCCTGGTCAGAATTCCTTGAGCCCCGGCGCGCTCCACCATCATGGGCGAATACTCTGACTCCGCTTCCCGCCTCAGCGATTCCATTAAATCTCTTCTCCACGGTGAGTAGACAGCGAATCAGGTGACACCGAGCTGGTAGGGCTCGGTCTCATTTTTTATTTTCCGCATCGGGAATCGAATACTGATCTTTAACTGAGAGTTTTTTCCCGTGTGCTACAGATAGATGACCTTCACAGGGATAGCATGGTACAGCGATCCCCGATTATTCCCTCCAAGTGATCTTGCTGACCGGGTTTCATAACACAGAATACGAAATTCCGGAGCCCGCATCGATTTGGACATCAAATGCACGGACAGCAATGGTGGGCTACTCCTCGGATCCCGTCAATGACTTCATTTCCGGTGGATGCCCTTCACAATTGGAATTGTCGCCGGAACAAACAAAGGCAAGAATATCGTCATGTCACCGACCATATGACAACGTCTGAATTTCTGGCCTAGCTGTTCTGAGCTGAGAGAGACTTGAAGTCAGCCATGCGGATCGCGACGAGACTGATCGCAGACAATCAGAGGTACCTACGATCCGAGGCAGGGAGTTTGATAACTGAATGAATGAATTTCCCTATCGTCTCGCACGGATTTCTGGCCCACCCGGAACAGAATTTCTTAGTCATCTCCGTCTCCAAGTAGTTTTGGCATATCACTATGGCGACTATTCCTTCTCATGGTTTGAAGGAAGAGCAGAGCCCTTGTCTCCTTCTCTGTCGCCGATACTTTTTCGTATCGATTTTGATACAGTTGGTATATTGCTCTGATATTGTATGGCTCGCCGTTCGAGGGAGCCGCCTATGCTGTGCAACGATCAGGATCGGAACTCTTATCCGAGTAACACTTCCTTATAGCTCACATTCGGACTCGAGTGACATTCATCGTGAGTTTATGCTGAGATTCGGATTCATAGGACTCCCTCGAGTTGTCTCCGTGGGCTGTTTGTCGAAAATCGAGAATCGACTCGTGGGTGGGAGTTGCGAGAAACAGCATTTTCAGGGCCGTGATTTCGAGACCGCGCAGACTGCGACTCAGGAGCCAAGGACATGGAGCGTAAAGTGGACGGAAATTATGTGGGTAGAGAAAGGAATTCTACTTTCATGACCTGTCCGACCTGCTGAGCGGACCAGTCGAAGGGGAATGCCTTCGTACTGTCACCCCTCTCTCGACCTTCCGAGCCCATGACGGAACGAAACAGATCATAATTGGCCCTTGCAGTCTTCATAGCTGCGACTCCATATTCCTCCAGGAGGTGATTCCCTCAATGATCCGGGGCGCATTCTGACTACTCTAGGACAACTCTAGGCAACGCCGACTACAGATTCCGGATTGCCGACTACGTATTGTCCTAATGATGAGATTTCGCATATGTGTCCGATAAATATCGAGCATTTATTCCATTCGTCAGGAGGACGAAAGCCCAGAATGCTGTTCCTCGGGTGATGCGATGCATGGAAAACTCACAGCTGGTCTTGAATGATTCGACGCCAATCAATAGACCTCCGGGTTAATTCCAGTCTTCACCAGATCCACGAGATCACCCATGGATGTCATCAAGCTTGACTCCCAATCCTTATTGCAGGAGCTCACTAGCTGATCCTCCTTCGTTTCGAAGTACACGACCTCACTGTCGTTCTCCGTGGCATGATCTTTCAGATAATTCATCCTGCTGCATATATCAACCACTGGTCCCTGCAAGATTCCTGATTGATAATTCCCTTGACCCCTCGCTCGCCTCATGAATTCCGAATGGATGGTAGGATCTCAGAAAAGCATCAGCATCCTTCCGTCCGCATACCGCACACATTTTCAAGTTCGCCACCAACGCGCTGCCGCAATTGGTCACATCGAATCCGCATCCTCTGTTGCAGATGATCAGGAGTTGTGAGTAGAAAGGCCGCGATAGATCATGACTGCAGTGTATTGTTGTAGCTTTGGAGGGGACGGAACCGAATTAACACGAAATGCCTCCGAAAATCGATCTGTCTGTCTGGGGCATCTACTCACGAGGTAGGACGCAGCCGGGTTGTAGTACCGTCCCACCGTTTGGATATATATCCAAGTGGCTGAAAGCGTTCCTCAAACCAAACTTTCCCTCTAACAAGGAGTCGCCGGACGATGTGTGGACAGATTCCAGGAAATGGACGTGGGCTTTGTTCGGTTGAATGAAACGCTCTAAGAACAGAGGACTCGCGACGTCCAGCCCTGGAATATACCCAGTTCGAGAAAAAGTCGAGAAGGAAGAGCATGTTGATTGCTCTCATCCCCCGACAGACGAAAGTTCTGATCCACGAACCTGTAGCGCGTCCAATCTTTATGTTGTAGTTCTCAAACAACCAGGCGGTCATCTGACCAACAGTTTGTCCGCCGAGGGAATGTCCGATCAGATGGATATTCTTCTCCTGTGAAGGTTTAGTGCTATCCTCATGGGTATGCATCCTGTCAAGCTCCAATCTCTTCACAGATCGTGGTATTGAATACGTGACAGAATAATAGAATAAGCTCCTGCAGACTTTGGGATACGTCGGGAACAAGTTCTCGCCGGTACCTTCAGGTTGTATCTCTTCATTATGCGGTGGAGCAACTCGGCAGTGATCTTCGCCAACATCATCACATTCCTCGCGGCAGCGGGATAATCACCCCCGACGGATCCTCGGTGCCAATCCACAAGAATGACCTTCAACTGGAACGTCGCATGAAGTGCCGAACGCTCGTTAACAGTGAATTGATACACGGCGCGTGTTAATCTCTTCAGTGATCCTCCGGCGAGCATCACCCCGGAACTCCGTCGAACCGACTTTATCACCCGCTCTGTTGCGGAACTTTCATATTATCGCTTCGAAATTACACCGTACAACAAGCGATGTACCTTTTCAGGCTGATCCTGTAAGAATAAAGCGTCTCTCATCTGAGGCATCCACGGCCGATTGGCATTATCGGTGAATCCGTGGATGATCATGGCGAGTTTATCATTGGAGTCAAAGAGATCGTCTCTTTCACCTTCGAGAGACTCATCAAAGCGCCATCTGCGATAACGACGTGATTGGTTCTCCTGCAAGCACGAATGACGTAAGCAGAGTCGAATCGTGACCGGCCAACCGATGAAAACATGTTTCCCTAGAATCTTTGAGTGACGTACGTAACGGTAGAGCGAGTAAATAGGGTCGATAGTTTCAGGCCTCAGCGGACGGAAAACATTCATATAGGTGTTGAAGCATCCTACTTCGATTGGGGTTCCCGAAAATTCGAAGAGCCTCGGACAGTACGACTTTGATTTTAGAGCCGACCCGAGAATGAGTTGTCCGTCCCTGTCAGGCGAATCGGAGCCGTGAGTTCACTTCGTAAGGGCATCCTCGAAGCGGCCGAGAATGGAAGCCTCCATCGGATGCGTGTGTCCTTTCGAACGACAGCGGAGCTCTCCCAAGAAGTTCCAGGACCTGTACCGGCCTGCGGACGTCCATGCAGGCGTGAGGCTTAATTTACCCTCGAAACACGCGCTTGTGGGAATGAGGGATTTTTTTGTTGCCCCCAGAAGGAGACTCCCCCGTGTCAGAACGAAAGTTTCGTTGAAAGGAGGAAAGAAAAACTCACGTTGATTGCGACTGTGCAGCGATGGAGAACGCTAACAGAACGAGGGCTCCCGCCACCGATCTGAAAATCATTCTGCAAGCTGTAGGACTGAGCCTTATTTAGATTTTTATTGAGTTTTATACCGTCGCTGCTGGAGCACTTACGTGCTCTTAAGATAGTGCTACGGTAGACTCAAAAACTCAATTTCCGTTGAGCTGCTCTCCCCTGCCTGTGTGTGGATGCAGAGCTCGTAAGACATCCAGCGAAGTATCTCGCATCGAACGATTTGGGAGCCATCAGAAAAAGTTAATATCGAATTCCGATAGCGGATCTTCCGCGCAGGGAAAAATGCAGAATCATCGAGTCATCAATACAGTTGACGGATTCTCCCTGGAGAGGGATGGGCATGGACGGGACGAACTTTTTGATCCTCTCTCGGAGCTCTCTTGGTCCAATATCTTCGAGAACATTCAATCAACGCTATTCGATCCCATTAATTCCACAGGCGAAGAACCAAGTTCGGCCCGGTAGGTGGAATCATTATTCGGCTCCCGCTCGGAAAAGGGAACCAGTTACGTTTCCGGATCGCTCACAGTCATCGCAGAGAGCCATTTGTTTTACTAAGCAATTTCAGTTGAATGAATTAGCGAGAATGGATGTTAGACAAGTCGTTCCCGAGTTCTTTGATCGGCGTTCATGTTCGACCCAAGGCATGGGGACAAGATATTGGTTCACGCGATGGCAGATCGCTACAAGTTGGTGGCTGAGCAACACAGAGTGGACAAACTCTCAGTGGAACTCCACCTTCCCTCAATCTACACGAGGGATATTGGATAGGAGAGCAAACGCGACTGAGGTTTCCGATTAGTTTGCAGAGCAGCTGGCTCAGGCAATAGCAGCGATGGCGACAACACTGGTAATCAATCATTTGGCGATCTCCTCTTGCGGCGATCGATCCAAAACAAGAGTAGAGCGAGAAAGACCCGGGCTATTTTCTTCGTCGCGTCGTTAAGGTACCTCTCATCTCGCGATTTGATTTAGTGGTCTCTAGTAAGAGTACCCGCGACAACGGCTATGGGGTTCTCTGCCTGGAAAGTGAGGTCAGTGATGGCTATGATCATCGAATCTCGGCTTATGCTTCGATCGCTGATTTGGAAACTCCATGGCATACACATGAAGGAATTATCCGGTGAACTGACAATCCATTGCTCTGCGTCCAATTAACCCAGACAGTAATTCTACCGCTCAGTGCCCTGGGGCTCCGAATCTCTTCTTCCTGGAAGGAGCAAGCCCGAGATTTCATGGTTCTGAAGGAGAGCTAGCGACTCTCCAGGTAAAGATCTCGGCTGTACGACCCGCGCTAAGAGGGACGGCCCTGTGACCCTAGGCTCTATCTAGAAAACAGATTTCCACGCTCGAGAGCTCGATACTCATGCATCGAAACCTTCGTCCGTCTCGGCTAAGTGACCTGCCGGCTCCAGTCGGACGGAAAACTCCCACTTGAGCCGGGAGTCTAAAAGACTTTTTCCGAGGTCCCATGCCGTCCGCCCGTGCGGCGCTTCTGAAATTTCCGGGACGACCGAATCATCGAGTTACAAGTCGTCGAGAAGAAGTGAACATCGTCTCCCTCCGATATCGTTCTGGGGAAGTAGGTAATATTTGGAGCTATGCCTTACTCCTGGCCGAATATGAGAGAGTAAGGTCACGATTTGGCGGATGGTGGTTCCGACCTTGCTGCGGCTGCGGGGAGCCGAAGCTCCACCTCTTCCGAAGTCGCGATCCCCCCGAGCACTGCCATCGGTAGCCGGGAAGAGGTAGGGGGGCAGCAGCGGCTCGACGGAGTGTTTTCGCGCAGGAGCTCCCACATCGAGCAAATTGGAAACGTTCATCAGCCTTCTCGGAAGTTGCGACGATGTAGAGGTCTTGGGCAGCTCAAATCGTTTTCCGCGTTTTTACTTGCTATCTCCATAATCGCAATTCCTCGATCTCAGAAGTGACTTTGAGTGACGTCCTGATTGATGGAGCCCTGGATCATGAAGTCATGAGCTGTGTGAGTAACTAGAGTACTAGAGGGACTTTCCGATTCCCGGAGGAATAGTAAATGGTTTCATTGCGCCTTCCAGGCCGACCCCGAGTTTGCAAGGAAAACACGCTGTGTCAGTCATAGATCAATATTCGGAAGTTTATTATATAGTCCTCATACTCAAGGATTCATTCACGGCATTGCCAATATCAGTCCGTTTCTCATCTTCGGTAATAATAATAATATCGATCGCAATAGCTGTAGAGTATTCGTATATTGTCAGCATGGTTATGCATTTTCGACATAGTACTGGTGAATTCATATCGTATGTTGCTTGATTGATTCGATCTCAGTAACTTCAACCAGTGTATACCCCATTATCCGTATAGAAGTACGCTGTTTCCCTTCCATACTTCCTGTCGCTTCCTTATTTACTTTTCATTTTACTCATTCTTTCCTACCGGGAGGGAGGTTTGCTCCTAGCGTGGTCACAATTCCACGACCTGGTAATGCGATATAGGCTCTTATAATCCTATTCCCACCATCATCGATAATGCCATAACTCATGGACGATTTTTCTCGAGCTCTTTGCCGATATACCAGGGCGAGGCTAACAGGAACTAGTGGGTCACGTTTACGTGACTCCTTAATTTCGGGGGTTATTCGAAGCTTGGTCGGTCTCTGCTTGGAATACTTAGTACGTTGACTGAACCTTTTGGGAATTTCATTTCTGTCGAACCTAAGCATGGGGATCCGTCGAGGAAGCGGTTGCCTCCAAACGTGGTCGGGCTTCCGGAGCAACATTCACTTTTGTCGATCGCCACTGACTCGGGCCAGACTTGAGAATTGTCCGACCTCGTCGTCTGGCAGACCCAGGCCACTTCCGGAAACGGCAACTGAATCTTCCTAGGCTTCTTCCTTCCCTCCGTGGGGCCCAGCACAACTTGAGAGTACACCGTATGCACACTGCACGGGAGGAATCCATGTGAGTTTGAATTTTACCGTTGCGTTCAACTTTCATTTTGGGGGTTTCGCGGCGGACATTACTCCCTCTCTCGTTCGACCCAATCATTCCCTGAGGACTGCCCGACGTGTCTCCTCGCTCAGCAAAAGATCCGCATCGAGAGAGCATTAAATAGCGCGAAGAGAAGTTTGGGTCCCAATCCCCGCACTCAACAAATCAAGAATGAGACGTGCCAAGATCTGCCTGGATGCCGATATCCGTTCGAAGTCACTCAGAGGGTAATCCGAAAAACCAATGCGCGCGAAAACAAGAACGACTCGGAGGACAATATACCTGGGATACAGTTGTTTCTTTCTCTTGCGGTTTTCAATACCACCGCAAGTTCATCAGTAAGCGCTGCCCTTACCTCCGCTTAATTAAAAGTTGAGTGAGTGTGCTTAAGATAAAGATGGAGTACATAAGGGTCAGCTGAGGATCCGTGTCTCGCCGTCTTGTACTTCGGCATACCTCAGCTGAATACCTATCGAGACATCTACGGTTCAAGTAGCTTTCCTTATTCATATCAGTGATTATGAAGTCGTATCGATCGAGGTGCAAGATCGTCCACTACGTTTAGTTTAGCTCTCACTGAACGCAGTGAACTCTGAACCTCTGAGGTTGGTTCCACAGAAGCGTCGTATCTCCGTTTTTTGTTGACTCCGCGCTTTGAATTCCTGATTTGGACTCGGTGTCCGGAATACCAAGCTCCTCGTCAGATCTCACTCGCAGATATCATTTTCTCGCTTTCATGTGCAAGACTCGACTCGGCTTTATGAATGCACGCGTTATTCTACAGTTCTGCAGCAATCTTGATCGTGCTTATAAGTGAACAACATAGGAATCGCTCCCCATGCTCGTCGCTGTCCGCCAGCTTTGTGTTGATGTGTGTGGGCCTTATGCTAGGTACCTAGAAGTCCTGGGGCAGCAAAGTCAGTCGAGGTGAAACCTGAAGAGACAATGACTCGTTGTTGGAGATCGCGGTTCAACAACTATGTGGAAAAGTGATGGACATTGACTTGTTTGCGGCTCTGGATGGCATAATTGTTGTTTCATCATCCGTATCAGGTCTCTACGCTGCGATGCCCGGACTACGTGGAAGCTAATTATATCGAGTGAACTAGATGTTCAACTTTGTGTTCCCATCAACATTTCCATCGTATTGTATGCTGGTCCGAGGAATACCTCTACGTACCTACAGGCACATCCGTGGCAGCTCTGCGATGGACATCGGTGTCGAGGTTCTCGAGAACCCTCAGCCCGTTGGCGCGAGCTTAGAGGATCTGTTGATGTTAGCCCCTAGACCGTAAGTATCGCACCAGTTGATGGACTTGGTAAGCCTCGAATTTTCGAGAATACCGACACCGATATCACAAAGGAGCTCACCTACATTAGGGAACGGGATAATAATGGAGCTGCCCCTGATGTCGGAGGAAAAAGAGAGCATATTCAAGGAGACGTTCGGCTTTGGCGTCTCGATCTTAAATTGGCGGATATTCGGCATCATGGAAAAATCAACAGGGGCCAGCAGCTGATCAATCGACTTGCTCGAATCGAAGAATGTCAAGAACGCTATCGGGCACCACGATGACAGCGCACCTGACAATTCGCCAATTGTCCTGTCTTTGATTGTGCTGATAACGAACGAGGGCGCCCGGAGGCTTCGCTCTCTCTTCTACGGATCCTAAGAATTCGGGAGTCAATTCTCGTGAGTGAGGATAGGCTGGCAGTCTCACTTAGAAAGATTCGCTGGGTTTTTATAATCTCCGGCTTCCTATATGAAATTCCGAAGTCGAGCATCTGGCTTCTTCCATCGAGTCAGTTGAGAAATACTTTACGCGCTCACTTATGAACGTCCGCTCTGCTTGGAGCGAAATGCTCGGTCCGTGCTGAGTTCGGCATATCAGCCGCCCATATCCCGTTGAGAGCCTTTATTTATGGTAGCCCTTATTCTTGAGAAATTTACCGTGGTCTGCGGAACGCTCCCGCAGTCGGAAGCGTGCCCCCGAACGAAAGTTGAACGCGTAAGATTTCTGGAGGTAATTTCCTTCTATTTCGGAAAGAGCGCGAATCGTGCTGATGACGGGTGCAATAAGAAGAGAGGCAGTCACCGACTGGCTCTCCCCCACCAGCCGAGACGGGACGAGAAGAGTGCACCCACGAGAATCGTTGCGCTTCGTAGCAGATCCCACGGAAGGATGCAATTGAGTAGGTTGGGTTTTCTGAACAATTTCCATAGTCACTCCCGATGCAGATATATATATGTACATTTACATAACCCCTCACAGTATTTCGTGCACTTGACTGGACTGGATGTCGTCTCGCCTAGAACGACGAGCTTTCGAATTCGACTTTGGCCAACGAATCTTGGGTACCTTGTTCAAAGCTATCGTTTCATGGGCGGCAGGACACCTGACATGCGTATGAATGACCGTCTGAACTCTCAGCCGGAGAACTATGAATCGAATCACTTTATATCGGTGAATCGAGATCAGAGGTGATGAGAGTACGATCCACTGGCTCCAGTGAATCACGGATGGTTTTAGAGGAGATCCACTCGTCTACGCACAAGCCAATCAGAGCGATGAACAAGGCCCGAAGGAATACGGGACGTCTACGATGTGAGACCTATCGACGCGGGTTTACTGCTCAGTACGATGTCGTTTCGGGTGTTAATGGATATTCGGGGTCTTCATCTCTCTGTCCCGACCGCCTAGATGAGAAGTGTCTCACCCCCTCTGGCGGTCATGATTGAATCCGACGACATTCCCCGCGATCCACGGCGAACCGCCACTACTAATGGAGCGATAGAGCAGGTGAAGATAAGATACAGATAGGCCCGAAAATAATTTCTCAGCGATTTCGGACTGTGAAGACAAAGCAATGCTGCTCAACGAAGCAACCTCAAGGATGACTGTTGTAGCCGATGGAATGAGCGAATGGCAAGGTAGGCACAAGAACTCCCTTAGATAGGTTCTTGCGACGAACGACGGCTTCACATGTCGGCTCGAAATCACCGTCACGCACGACTAGGTGAGTGTCGCAAAGATTTTCATGCTTCAAATTAGCTGATGAACAAGCCGCTCGCTGAAAGTGATTAACTTCAGTCCTGGAAGTAGATTCGACCTCAGATATTCGATAAGTCGAGGCCGATGAGGCGCAGCAGAGAGCCTGAGGTGGTATCTACGCTCTCTCTCCATTCTCTGGAGTGAATCCAAAGTGAGAACGACCCTCGCCCTGGGGACGAGGAGTCTGAATAGAGTCTAGCCCAGCTAAGCAGATGAAAGCAGAGATGTACAGGGGGAATGAATAACAATTCTTCGAAAGTTCGGACTCGTACGAAAAATCGAGTGAGCGGGGTGTTGCTGAGTGGACCGGTGGATTACAGGACGGTTGCATTTTTCGAGGATTTCATCGACTTCATCACCTTAACATGATCGATCAATTGTTTTGTCACGTATTTCGAGACCCATCTCTGAGGACAGAGCGGTTGTCTTAAGGCTACATATGGGTTTTGACGGGATCGTTCATCTTGTAAGCTTTCCTTTCATAGTATACTATATTGTCAGACGCCGCCAATGTAGACAAATCACTGTACCGATATCAGGAGACCTTCGTAATGCGACCGATTCTGATGCACAGGGCAGCAGCTGGTAAGCTTGCTTGAAACTACGCAGAATTCGGACACTGAACAGATCGGGTGCTTCAGAAGAAGAAAAACAAACGTGGGACCTTTCCTCGAAGAATTTCGCTCTTGAATAAATACAAGAATAGTGCGCGATATTCGGATTTTTTTCGTTTGGTCACATCTTTCAGGCGCTCTTTACTCCGGCCGACCGTGAGTTTTCTGTACACTGCAATCTTCTCGGGGAAGTACATAATGGTTTTCGACTCTGGTAGGGACTCTGGCGCATGTCTTCGAACGCGGTAGCGTGTCGCCCGAATGACCGCGAATACGTACGTACGTTCTGAATTCACTGACTGGGTTCGGGAGTGGCGAGCAGAGTAAACCTGAGCCTACTTGGCGTCGGGTAGGCGTCGAGTTATCGCTACACGGCTTCACTGCTTGCTCCGAACAATGGCTACTCATTTGGGTTTCTCTCATTTCTCATGTCGGTAGGGATACTTCCTTCCATAGTAATTATCTGCGAGCTTCATCTTGACAAACGTTTCTCTTTTGCTTCGCTGGTTTGTTTACTTCATATCACTCGATGCGAGAGCCATCACAATCGTTCTCAAACTATTCCACGTACGATTAAGACTCTCGTATCCTTCCACGTCGCACCTCTCACATCATCAGTCAATCAATTCCATGAGTCTCAATCCATCACGTGATTTTTTCGCGGTCGAAGAATTTCTATTCCTTGTCGGTCCAAATTGACCAATCACGATGGGTTGGGTCGCCGTCGCTGATTGAAATCAACCGACAGATCGAGCTTTCCCGAATTTCTTGCCTTGGGCTTCCAGCCGTTATGTTCTGAGACAGTTAGGCTGTCCGCCCAGATTCTCGTGATCGCTGAAGGTCACAGCAGCCTCCGTGACTTGTATTCGCAAGTACGGATCCGCTGTCACATACATAGATATTGACCGCTCCCGTCATCGGTAAATGGTGTCATCGCCCGAAAATCTGCTAGAGCGCCGTGCGAGTGCTCACAATGTCGAGAATTTGCGGACGCAACGCCGGATCGGAGAGTGCTCACGAAGTGAATGTATCTGTGGGGGGCAGGAGCGATTGGAATGGACTCGAGAAAACACGCAACGTTTAGAATATCTCCAAAGGCAAGGCTGCTCGGACTGTTTCATGATTGTTCCTCTACTCGCTGCATTTCGCTTTGGTTTCGGCTAACGCGAAGCCTTCGACAAGAGTTTCCAGAATGAAGTGGATCGTCGTGTTGTAGATGTTCTCTATATTATCCGTGTAACGGTCTCCGAGCGTCAGCTTTACTGCTTCCAGGAATGGCTTCTCTATCAGCTGCAAAATAGAAGAAAAATAAAACATTTTTAGTCGTGCAGTGCCATGAGATCGAGTTCCCTGCCCGATGCTCATCAGCAGAGGATCCCCCATCGGAAGGGGCGCAAGGCCGCGTCGCGTTATGGAGGTATCGTGGCGGGACAATTTCTATCTCGTTTCCTCGCAACCCATCCGGCCAGGGCGCGAAGGCAAGAGAGAATTGGGTTCAGCGCAAAAAAAGTCCCAAGCGAATATCTAGAACGCAGAAGTCGCTCGAGAAACGGGACGCAATACTGCATCGGAGCGAAGATAGACGCACTAAAATTCTTGGCAGCACTTTATTGACCCAGGCAATAATATGAAAGGAGCGCAATAAACAGTCGCCCCTCGGATCTCGGTGCTTTTTTTCCGCCGCTGGCCATCATGACGGGACGCAACATGGAAAAATCGTAAAGCTCCGGCTATCTGCGGAATGGCGCGGGGTTGTGCCCCGTAACGACGACACCTGTCGACGATGTAGGTCAGGACCACAAGAGCATGTCAGCACTCAAGGTCGGTGGACAAGTGATTCTCTTGACAGCGCGGCGCCACCAACGACACTGAAGTGCGGATCTCTAAGATAGATGGTGCAGACCGCGCTTCGAAGACGCCTTTTCCGATAGCGGACGCTAGAACAAACAAAATTGAAACGCCGGGGGCCTATTCTCTCGCTCGGCTGGATGCGGGTAGACAACGGTCCAAACAATTCGACAGACAATATGGTCCGACCACAAGACGGCATGCTGTCTTGGAACCTCTCCAAGAACGCGTTCGTCGGCGCGAGTCGCCTCCCCAGACTTCGTCATCGCGTATCCGATCGGTCGATTCGGAAACTGATATAGGGGTGGTTGATTTGCCAGATCCGCCTCCGAAAGCTTTTCAATAAGAGGCAGGTATGTTTAGATACCACAACCCTGTAGAGTTCTCGTTAAAACGGGGAGTCTCGATCCACCTAATGGATCCCGGGGGATTCGTGCGTAATCGTTCGGAGTGCTTGATCACACAACTGAAGATGGGTTTCCAGTGATACTCTGTCGACGTGGGCGGAATGGCTAGAATATTGCGCTGATATTCAAATCGAACACATCGTCCCGGCCCGATAGCGCCGAACAATAGCGGAGACGTCGTGCTCTGAATCAATACATCCTGCACCTGGGATCGTGTCCGAGATCGTTAGGAATCACGAGGGAATCTTTCGGCAACTCACCCAAAAGTATTCTTTTTTGAAGCCCTTGATCTTATAATGCATTCCTCCGGCGTTGTGCAGATATTCAAGAAAGTAGTCAAGGTTGTCCAAAGAGTTGATTCCCTCGTCTAACGTTGTCATGACAAGGGATGCATGTTGTCCCAACTCCATGGATTCACGTTGCGATTCCTCTGTCTTCAGAGCCTGAAAACTGGAAAAG